GTACCTATACTTGTTTTGGTCTTCAGTATGTTTCTCGTACCTATAACCCAGGATTAGATGTGATGGATCCTTGACTGGTACTTTGACGTCATGTCTCTTTGAGGGAAGAACTGGCCGATTCCTGTTGCAATGTAATCAGACGATACTAATAGTGGAATGAAGCAATTTTAAAATCAATCATATCCAGTCAAATAACGAATTTTATGTCAAAATGTGAGACCGACATTCTCATGCTTACTACTATGAGTATATAGGCCTTTTCAGAATAAGGATGCGTGATTGAAATCCATTAGCGAGTATTGCTTGTATGCTAGGCGCTCAATAATGGCAGACGTTCGAAAATAAATAAATCAATTTGTTTATTGATGACTAGTGAAAAATATACCAGAATACGCCGTCATCGACCCTTGAATAATAGCTTTTATTTTGGTATCGAGGCTATTACGTACGCGGCCCTGACTTAATTTTCATAAATCAATTTATCTTTTAAAATTTCTTAAAATCCAATACGCCCAATTCTTTTTTGCTTCCTGTGTTCTTTTCTTTAATCTATCATCTGAATTGGGGACATCGTTACCAGGCCACAAAAACTATAAATAACAAATGAATGGTGGATAATCAATTGTCAAAAGGTTATCGAACTCACAGATATCGAACTTGCTTAAAATTCTGTGTATAGGTTACTATCATAGTTATCAATATAATATGGGCATTCCAAATATATTTAAAAAAATGTAAATTTCAAGCGATTATTTTATTTAAATGTTTATTTAATTCTAAAGAGAATTTATACCACGTGATCTGCAAGCGAACCAAATTGTCACTTACAAAACTTGCAGATGCGGCCGGCGCGCACATAAACTCTCTCCATCGATTTCCGTTTCTGCAGGTTAGCCGTCGGAGCACCTCGGTATGTGAGTAATGTACCTACATAGATCTTCACGATGACCTCCAATCAGAATCGATAGGTACGTAAGTATTTGAAGACTGCGTCAAAACACTTTGTTGAAAAAGCGGCGCATCACGATAAAATTCTTATCGTGGCCGCCTCTAACTACTTATCCGACCCGGGTGACGGGGCAAAGCAAAGCCGCCGTCGCCCAAATAAAATGTCCCTTGTCGGATCCTCTGCATCCAGTCTCAGTGTTTTTAAATATTCCGAACACCGGTCATCATTCTCGTTCGACGTGAAAACTTACTGCAAGCTAGCCCATAGAGACACACTGAATTTTTCGCTGGATCTTCTCAGTGGGTTGCGATTCCGATCCGGTGGTAGTTTCTGCGAATCACCGCTCTTGCAAGAGCTGGTGTCAGCAAATTCTCTCAGGTTGAGCTCGTGAGCTCACCTGCCCGTCCGCGCATATTACCGAAGCTTATTGAGTAATCTGTTGTAGGTGTTTGTAATGTAAAATTTATATCGCATAAAAAATATACTATAAAGGTGTTTGTAATGTAAAATTTATATCGCATTAAAACATATACAATAAACCTTAAATATTGTCATTTGCGAACGCTAAATGAATGCTAAAGTATAAAAGCAATTCGTATCAAAAGCAAATAAATCTGATCCCATAAAATCCATGGAGTTTTTTGACAGGTCAAAGGGCAGAATATCGTTTAAAAGTATGATTTTATTACTCCTACTCTGTAGTAAAAGGGCCGTCCGCAATAAACCAGTAACGGAATTATAATAAAAACATAAAGCATAAAAATGGCTTCGAAATAACAATAATTTTATTACGTTAAACTCACCGGATTTTGTTCCCTTATTTTAGTTAGATACTCATTACATATTTTAGTTGATGTTACGTTAATAGAATTGATGGATGGATGTTTGATTGAGTAGCGTTTGCTACGATTTTGGCAAGCTATAGATAAAATTTAAAGTATTTTAACGGCTTAGTCTGGGGTTTCATATTTTTATTTTATCATAAAAATTTCGTACGTTTACGAAATAATAATTTATGGTTTTTATGAGAAATTAAACTGAAAAGTAGTTTTAAATAAAATACATTTTAATTTCTAATAACATTGTTTCCAAGTATAGGCTATATTTCCTTTAAATATAGCTTTAGGAGCTTTAAAATTGATTGATCAGCGACTTTATGGATTTTTTGCCCGAAGTAGTATACCTACTTGTGGTAGCGCTTGTGGTTGTTTTTTTTTATTGTCAAACCGCACACCGGCATTTCGCGAAGGCTTCAAACGCAGGTTTCACAACAGGTAAACGAACTAAGGGCACACCTGATCGTGAATGATCATAGCCGTGTCAAATCATATTGATGGTAGTGACACAATAATGTTATAAATGCTTAATCTACCTACTATTTTTCCACTGAAGAAATTCTCACCTTGCTTAAGCATATTAGATACGATGATTAAGTTTTGTAACGAGTTCCGGGTCATGTTTTCCGGTTCCGGTGTGGGACAGCTCCTTTATAATTCGCCAGAGACAACAACCTCGCGTCTCGTGGTCGGTGACGACATTCACTCTGTGATGTCCATGGATTCCGGTAACCACTCAAAACCACAAGTGGACCTTAGGCTCGTTAAAGGATCTAAGCCAGGGACTTGACTCCTCAGCTACGGCTCTTCCGCGAAATGCTTAGTTCAGGCACGGAATATTACTTTCTTATCTTGCCTTGTAAAAAAGGAGTAAAACATTTTTCAAACACAAGGCTAAAAAATATATATAAAAAAAAATTGCAAATACATATATTATTATGTGTTATCTATATTTGGCTTTTTTTGTTGACAAGGTTGTCAACTTCTGATTTGAGTTAAAAAAAAAATTTGGAAAAAGGAAACATTGCTACTATGATCGGATAGCAGGGGCCGTCTCTTCTGATTTATATCGGTCAGATCGACTACTGATAGTCTGGTAGTCCTAGCCTCAGTCAATTAGTCAATAAGCTGCATCATTCATTCTTAGAATTTTGCGTGGATCACATTTATTTAAGCGACCTGGCCGTTTTAAAGACTTTCTAAGTCTATTGTAGTTGATGCCTAGTATTTTAATTTCCACTAATGGTTAGCTTGCGTGTGGATGTACCTGTACAACTGGAAGTTACAATTAGTGAAACTGTCAGTGAGAGTAAATGGGAGCAAATTTAATTTTGTTCACTGAACAACTAACCCTACTATATACCTACACCACAATTAAGTTAAAGTGCCCATCAAGTTGTGTTTTTACTGTCTCTCTGAACCAATCTATTAACATTAATAACCAGTCAATCCAGTAAGATTAATGGCCAAGTAAACACATTTCTATCTTGATCTTTATTTGTCCTTATAGACAGACGTACATACGGCCCACCTGGTGGTGGTGGTACGCAGTGACGTCCCAGCAATTCCAGGGGCATGGCCATGCTGATAAATGATCTTCGTCGATAGTCGAAAAAATTGTTTTTTGTTTTGTTTTATTCGTGCATTCGTGCATATACACAACCAATATTAACGAGCAATTTCACTCGCTCAGCAGAAGATCTTCCCTTTGTAGAGCAACCTAAAAGCAACTAGCATAAGGTCGAATTTACTAATTTTTTACTGGTGGTAGGGCCTCTTGTGAGTCCGCGCGGGTAGGTACCACCACCCTGCCTATTTTCGGCCGTGAAGCAGTAATGCGTTTCGGTTTAAAGGGTGGGGCAGCCGCTGTAACTATACTGAGATCTTAGAACATTATATCTCAAAGTGGGTGGCGCATTTACATTGTAGATGTTTATGGGCTCCAGTAACCACTTAACACCAGGTGGGCTGTGAGCTCGTCCACCCATCTAAGCAATAAAAAAAAGGTCCTTGTCCAAATATGGAGCACCGCATCGCTCTGTTGAGGACTCCCAACATTTTAGAAGCTAACTTGGCTTTACATTCCATATTACTTCGATACTGAGCACCGCTCGAAATTTCGACCATTCGACATTATCGCTGTGGGGATACTCCTTGCAATTGCGGCACCATGACAAAGGGGTCCTTCTACGTAGTGAACGCGCAAACCTGTACCTATCTTTCCGTGAACCGCTCCAGAGAGTTCTCCACTTCAGGCACAAGTTTTGATTGTCTTTTCTGAACTATGCTTCAAGATAAAATCTGATGATCAGTGTAAGGAGCTTCCTCCGTTTGAATACAAACAGAAAAATATATTGGTCAATACCTAAATTATTAAAACATTATTACGATAGATGGCGACTTCGCTTTATGCATGATAGACACAAAGTGTCTTCTAAGATGACATTTAGAATGGAATGATAAAAATATAAATCAAAGAGATAAAGGATAAAAAATCAAAGTTAATTTTTATTTCTTAAGTTAGCTAAGGTAATTCATCATAGATAGAATCATAGATAAATAGGTACACTTAATTTAAAATTGCATCTGTTAGAAAAAATCTAGGTACATACTACATATTATTTTGCAGGAAAAAACTGCCATCTAGTAGTAATCTAATGAATTATTTAAGCAGAACAACTGTCAATTGTTTTAGATGATAATCATCACTAAAACCTGAAAAAAATCGTTGATAAATAAATAAATAGTTGACACGACATTTCATTGAACAAAATAGTTAGACCTAATTATCATAATTAATATAATTAATTATAGTGTTCGAAACCGAGATGACTTTTTGTTGTCTTTGCGGCTTTGTCTATGCCTTGCTCTATTATTTTGCGCCTGCGCTTTTGATGGTCTACGCGACATAACATAAAATCATTTTGTGGAAAATTTGAAGTTTGTTGTTATTTGTGACAACTTATAATTCATAATTGTTTATGAAAGCTTCGTGATAATTACCTTTCCAGGCGTAAGGCTGGATTTTTCAGGTGTGGTTTGCCTGAATGCAATCGGACTCTATAGTTCGAGCGGTGTACGGTAGCCATCTTGGAATCGAACAAAGCTTCAGATGTGTAGTTTGTCTGTTTATCAATAATTTTTGTGCATTTTATTGTAAATAGTTTGTATGTTTAGGATATGTACGGAACGTTCGTCCATATGTGTAAATAGCTATGGCTGCGACAAGGAAATTACAAGGTAATTTGTTATGTTATCAGGTTATAGATTGATTGACCCTAACCGATGTAGGGACGTTGTCCAGGGCATAATCGTCGGTTGGCGACTACTCTGTAGTGTTCTGTGTCATGAGAACATCCAGTGTCTACTATTAAGCATTCTAATAACACACCTGTTATTCAAAAGCCGACTGCTGACAATGCCTTCTGGACGCCAGAATTGTACGAAAGTCAATAATATGAATCGTAGTTAGGTGAATTTAGTGTGAAATCGGAATTGAACAGTATTTACTGTCAATATATTATATTAGATTTTCGTTGAGTACAGCTTGGTGTGTGCAAGTTATTGAAAACGGGTTTCAGTGCATAAATAACGGAATATTAAATGTGGGGTGATAGGCTCGGGCACGGAGACCATCTGTTGTCCTTAGAGGTCAAGAACCTGTCGCGGGATGTTGCTAGAATTACGAAAAAACACATATCTGACACTTGAATAACCTTAGCGAGAATATTTTTCGAACTATTTTTTTGTTATTTATCACAGAAAAATACATTTATTTGCACAGTATTGAATGAATTTGTGTTTATTCTTAACATTTAATGGGTTAATTTGCATATTTTAACTCAGTAATTATGAATTTTTTTAGTAATTGCCAACATAACCTAACAGCTGCAAGAATGTATTGTGAGTTGAGCTGTTAGAATTTTCAATCAATAAGTTACTGTCGAATATCTAGAAAAATAACAAAGAAAAGCGAAAGAACGTATTCAGAATACAAATTTAATAAATAAATCACTGTTATTATGTTTATTTATTAAATATAAAAAAATAAATTTTCATTAACATAAAATTAAAGAGGGTATTATTCCATTCGCTCTTAAATTTCAAGTACTAACTACATACAAACACAATTTCTACAATTAATACTCAATTTTCAGGCGAAATAGAACGTTGTTTAAAAAAAGTAACAGAAGGAGTTGAAACTTTTGAGGACATCTGGCAGAAAGTTCACAATGCGACGAACAGTAATCAAAAGGAAAAATACGAGGCGGACCTTAAGAAGGAGATCAAGAAACTGCAGAGGCTACGCGATCAGATCAAGTCGTGGATTGCCTCTGGGGAGATTAAAGATAAGAGTACACTATTAGAATTTAGGAAACTTATTGAAACAGTAAGTGTTTTTATTTTTTTATTAATTATTCTGTAGATGTGAGGTAGATAATAATTTAGTTAGGATCAAATCACTGCTTGAATTTAATAGTATATCTAGGGACCACAAATGTCCCCATAGCAACTAATAATAATATGTTATTGTTCGCGATAATTATATTGCAGTGATGCTACGTCAGTCTCGGGATTGTCGGGCTCCCGATAGCATATTAGGTTGTAATCCCAATATACTTTAGTCACTTAACTGAACACGTGTCTTATTTATCCTTGCCTGATATAGAGACTCAACATATGCATTTATTAAGAAGTGATCATTAATACTTAAGGAATTGTTCTTTATGCTATTTGTAATTGAATCTTCTCACAGAGTTCATAGTGTAATTTGGTAGCTGTTAGTGATATTTAAATTTAATTTAGGCCAATACTTAACTTACCCAAGAGTATGTTATCTTATATTAGACCCAAATAAACAATTTAAATCTCATTACACAGTGAGAAAAAGAACAGAACATTTTGCAGTTTTATAGCTTATACTCTTCTGCAAAGTGTATCTTTAGATTTTATAATAACAATACAATATGAAGACAAAGCTTAATTTAAACATCAAAAAGAAAACAACTTTAAATAATGTGATAAATGTAGAAAAATTAAAAAATTATTGAATAAAACACATTTACGGAAATGTATGAATAAGATTATTATTTAGCGATTTCCTTGTATTGTGTTCTACAGGAAAATGGAATCCTACTACCAATTTCATTTTTATCTCTTTCAATACTAACATATAAAGCTAAAATATATTTCTTACATAAAACAAGCTTACAAGTTTAGAAAAAAATATCCTTTCATTGTTTACTTCTACAAAATAATGTCTAAATAAAACCATAGACTTTTTCCAACCACCATCTAAAAATAGCAATATAACTGTGCGATCTTTGGGACTGTGACATATTTTCATGCTCAATGTAGAAATCAAATCAAATCAAATCAAATCAAAAAAGTTTTATTCAACATAAATGAAAGTACATACTTATTGAACGTCAAAAGAACTACCGCCAATTCACAAGAATTAGCCGCCGTCCTGAGAAGAATTGGCAAGAAACTCAGCGGGCATGTTATTTTTTTTTTTTTTTTTAATATTAGATTTTTATTTTTATTTTAAATATTTTTTTTTTTAAATATTCATATTACAATAAGTAATTATAACATAACAATTTTACAATATTGAAATTCCCGGAGCGAGCAACTCATTCCCACTTTGTGCAATCTTCTAGATAATCATTGACTTTATAGTAAGCTTTATTGCACAGATGTTCTTTAATAGTTTNTTTTTTTTTTAAATATTCATATTACAATAAGTAATTATAACATAACAATTTTACAATATTGAAATTCCCGGAGCGAGCAACTCATTCCCACTTTGTGCAATCTTCTAGATAATCATTGACTTTATAGTAAGCTTTATTGCACAGATGTTCTTTAATAGGTTTCTTAAACCTATGTATATGTAGGTTCTGAACATCTTGTGGGATTTTGTTGTACAGGCGCACAAGCTATGAGAATGTTGTACAAGCTATGAGAATATGATGATTATATGTTTTATGAGAAGAATATGTGACATTGAGAATCCTTTGTAAATGCAGTTATGAATAGTTGTCCTCCGTTAGTGTGAGAAAGTGAACCAAAAATAGTATTGTTCATATTTATTTAAGTTTATATACAAAACTATTGTTGAAATATGTACACTTGTCTTTAACAATATACTTTACTATTGTGAGCATTGTAACCCATTCACAAATAACTTAAAAAATACATACATTAACAACATTAAAATTTTAACATGACAAAACATTCAGTAAAGACACTGCTTATATTTCATTATGTCTTTATCTTGATACTCACCAGACAAAGCATCCAACTAACTTAAACACCATAATTGATTTTGTGAATAGGCTGTCAATTATCAAATTTTATCAACACTCTTTGTATAAAAAAAGAAGTTAGTAAAACTAGCTATTACTAAAAACTAAAATTAGTTATTACTCTGAAATTGCTTGAATTTTATAAGTCATACTGGTAGCCTAGAAGGGACCGTCGCTCATGTCTTTGGCATTATTAATAGATTGTCTGCAGTATATGACCAATTTTGAAACAGTAATCTTTCAAAATTGAGTAATTAAGTATTGCATAAAAGTTTTTGTTAAAAATTTCTTGAAATATGCGTAATATATAAAATGATAATGTATAAAAAAAAACTAAATTCAGCTTTTTGTTTTGTACAATATGCTGAAAAAAACAGGTCAAAAAATTTTTTGTAGTGTCAACAATCCAATAAACATGAGCTAGGTCAGAACTGTATAAAATACATTATTTACATTTACTTTATCTTTGAAGATTTCTGTTTTTTTAGCATTTGTTTGTACAGTTTCAAAAATGGACTTGTCATAAGTTAAGATAAACTTTGTTTTTATTGAGAACTATATTCCAGAGCCACTAGTTACTTGTATCTAAAACCCATATAACTAGGTATGCAATACTAACATAGATGTGTTAATGGTATCTCGTACCATGCCTTAATCCAATCACTAATGCTCTCAGACATTGACATTGACAGTGTGCTTATCATCAGTAAATATTTTGTTTTAATTATACTCCGATATTATAACCTTTTTGCAAATTACTGTTTCAAACATATATCCAAAATATTAAAACTACTAAAAGAAAGAACAAAAACGTTTCAATCGATACTAAATTTTGTTTCCTAATTCTTTTTCAGCAAATGGAGAGGTTTAAAGTTGTGGAAAGGGAAACGAAAACGAAGGCATACTCAAAAGAAGGGCTTGGGGCGGCACAGAAACTCGATCCTGCTCAGAAGGAAAGAGAAGAAATGTCATCATGGCTCATCTCGTCCATAGACGCTCTAAATTTACAGGTACAGAACAAGACAAACTAAATTTGCTCACTATTAGAATGTGTTTTTATAAGTGCAGTTTAGGTAACTGTTACTGGTGGTTGAACCTCTTGTGAGTCCGCACGGATAGGTACCACCAGCCTGCCTATTTCTGCCGTGAAGCAGTAATGCGTTTCGGTTTGAAGGGTGGGGCAGCCGTTGTAACTATATTGAGAACTTTGAACTTATATGTCAAGGTACGTGGCGCATTTACGTTTGTAGATGACTATGGGTTCCAGTAACTACTTAACACCAGGTGGGCTGTGAACTCTTCCACCCTACTATGAATTAAAAAAATTAAAAAAGTGTCAATTCTTCTGGAACTTCTGGATCTGCAGTGGAACCAAATGTTGTTGGCATGCTCATGCTTAACATGCTACGGAATCGTCGTCGTTGTAACCGTTATCTGTAGTTTTAACTAGCTCAGTCTGTGTACTGTTACCTTTTTATGGTTATCAACACTGAAAAATATAATCATTATTAATAATATATGATAATTTAGATTTGAGTGATAGTGAAGACGTATTTGATTTTCAAGTGTTAAAAGATATTGCAAAAGACAATGTTGATTATAATTCTAACACATCAAGTAGTGGTTTTGAAATTATACTACTACAAAAAAGACGAATGAGGGTTATTGAAAGTGAAAGCGAAGATTTGCTGAAAGACTTAGATAAATGGTGCGAAGTCACAGAAGAATTAGATATTTCGGATAGAATAGATTTGAATTTTAAGTGTATCGCCAAAGGTCATTCAATGTACCCGCATGTTTCTACAAATATTATTTTTCGCTAACGAAGTAAATCCAGAATACACATGGGAGATCGTCTCTAAAGATATCACATGGTCAGTTACAAAGTTTTATCTTCTAAATTTATCTTCACTTACAAGAAGAAACTGTATAATAATATGTGTAAAATAGATAAAATCAAAACCATTCTCGAGCACGTGTATTTCTTCTCGCTTTAAATAAGACTCCTTTACATTCATCCCCCTGTGAATATGTGCCAGAGTTGTTAGTAGGCAGTATTACAAAAACGTGTGTTAAAGGTTATGAATAAAACCCCATACCTCAAGATGGTTGGTGGTATTCTTATTTATGATATGAATGGGATCTAGTCACCACTTGATATCGGTTTGACTGTAAACATGTCTATATCGCACTTATTAATTGTCAAATGAATTTCAAATTTCAGGTTGATCAATTTGAGTCTGAAGTAGAATCACTATTAGTGGGTAAGAAGAAAAGACTAGACAAAGAGAAACAGGACAGAATGGAGGAGCTCAAACTGAAACTGGAAAAACACAGGTTTCACATAAAAAAACTTGAAACGCTACTAAGGATGCTGGATAACATGTCTGTTGAAGTTGAACAGGTATATTTATGTTTAAATATAATGTACCTAACATTTTCAATTAAAAAATACTTAAGTTTCAATGTGAAAGTATTGAGTGAGGGGTTTTGATTACTGTGAATTTAAAAATAATTATACCCTGAATAGAATAACGAAATTGTGAAAAATGGTTGTACACGCGAGTTATTCAAAGATTTTTCACAATGCCGGACGTTTCAGACGAATTTCAGTTACCCTCGTCCAGCAAGCGATGAAAGCTTAGAGACTCGCGGCAACCTTAGAAAATACTATGTAAAATTGCAGATAAAAGGTATAAAGGAAGACGTGGAATATTACATAGACTCATCTCTAGAGCCGGGGTTCGAGGAGAACGACTACATATACGACGATATCCAAGGGCTGGACGAGATCGAGCTCAGCGGTGTAGGACCGTCCACCGATTCCAACAACAGCAATGGCTCCGCTGCAACTCCCAACAGTATACTCTCTGGTGAGTTTCGTCATTTCAGTTTAAAAGCTGCAAAGTAAAGCAAAGCAAATATAAGAAGTTTCAATGGGGAACTTTGCTACCATTGGCTCTGTTTGTTTTTTAAATTATTGATATATTTTATATATAAATTATAACAATTATAAATAAATCAAATCAGTATTATAATTGTAAAATGTATTATTAAAAATTTAAACTGATACTAAAAATGTAATGAAAAATGAATGATGGGAATTTATGCTGCAAGTAGATTTAAACTTTGATTTCAATAAAAAGTCAATTTCTTTTTTTTTTTAGATAATGAATAATGGATAAACGAATGTCTAGATAGATACCTTTACTCTTATTTTACTTTTGTATAGTTAGTATACTAGTACTTATTGTCCCATGCCTGAATTTATAGAGTATAAAACTTTTTATGAGAGAAAATTGTAGAATACATTATTAATATGTACTATTTCTTTAACGTGATTTACAGGACATTTCACCCAAACAAAAGCGCAACTATTAAACTTTGTTATTTAAAAGTTACATTTTCCCTTTTCCAGGCACGAGTCCTGTAAGAACACCAACGTCAGAAAACCACAATCATTCGACAGATTCAATAGACATAGAAAAGAAAAAGAAAGAAGAGATTATACCTAAAGTAAGTAGAACTCAATTACTTATGTATCTATTAATTATAATACAAACGTTAACTCATACACATCAGCTGTTTCATTATTAACTATTTTTAATGTGGAGTTTGAGATTTTTCCGTATGATAATATAATTTCTTACTGTAATTTATTTATTTTCAAATGATTAGTTTTGGGTTCTGTGTTTTTCTCCTATATTTAATGTTTGATGATTATTTGAAAGTGTCTTTTTTTGTCTGTTTATCGTGTTGTGAGTAATTACGTTCACATAATTCATATAACATTGGGTTATTTATTAATTCAACATGACAATATCAGGTCGTTACAAGTTTATAATTAACTATATTTATGTTCTAACTAATTTATAACCTGTTTAAATCATAACACATTCAATTTAATTGGATTGCATTTGACAGTGTACTGATTAAATATTGAGATAGAGTTGACTTTAGTGGATAAAACTACACGGTATGTCCGTTTTTAATTTTTAGTAAATTTTAATTTAGTAAATTAAATGTATTAAAAGGCATTATACTTTCTTAAGACATATTCATGAAATTTTGTCTTCACCTAGGCCCTGATGATTTCTTAAATTGAGCGACCAACGGCATTGAAGGGACGCGTTTCGTATATGCGTTTTCTGAACCGTTGTTGGTTAAATACGTTGATTCTAAAACGAGTCAAATACATGATATTATTGACATATTATGTTGTGTACAAAAGATGATAATGTAACGAGAAAAACGTAAATTAAAAGCTTTACCGAATTCGAAAACATGTATTAAATGATAATAGAGCACAAGGCAAATTTTTTACAAGCTATTTTACTGGTGGTAGGATATCTTGTGAGTCCGCGCGGGTAGGTACCACCACCCTGCCTATTTCTGCCGTGAAACAGTAATGCGTTTCGATTTGTAACTATACTTAGATCTTAGCACTGATGTCTCAAGGTGGGTGGCGCATTTACGTCGTAGATGTCTATGGGCTCCTGTACCCACTTAACACCAGGTGGGCTGTGAGCTCGTCCACCCATCTGAGCGATAAATAAAAAAAAATAGGCTATTGAAACGAATAGATTGCGACACGAACCCAAAACCAATCCCCCCGAGAGCCCAGCAAAGTAAAGTGTCGCTTGTTGATTGCAGCCGGTAAAACCACTGCCGCTCCGTGCGGTGAACGCCAGCGTGGTCGGTAATAGCACGTGTAACGTTAGTTCCTTGCTCAATAACTCCGCAGCCGCAAGCAATAGGTCAGTCCACTCTGACGCATCTATTTTGATTTTACATCTTTGTTTTTTTTTTTTACCCCCACACGATGAAGGTCGAGGACGATTCCAGTTGCGTGATTGTTTTTTTTTTTTGTTTTTTTTAATAAAGATTTTGAGTTTTTTTTTTTTTTTAGTTCTGGGGCAATTACTTAATCCTTGTAGTGTAGGCTTTTTTAATATTGTTTTTGAGCTACTACCGTTTGAAGTTTTGTTTTTGTTGCACTGTTTTAGATTTTTTTGTTTTATTTTCTCTTCGTACAAAATCGGCCTAGCGCCTCTGAAAATTATGCCAGTTACCTTCGCGTCATCCCACCAAATTCCCATGCTCCTAATTCCGAAAACATGTATCGTCAAATTTTTTTGGGTCGTGGAGTCCCTGAGATGACCCGAGAAGTTACTGGTCCGTTGTTTGTAGACGTCAGTCGGTGGTTATGAGGAAGCCGCCCGTGAGGCCTGGATGTTGAGATGGTAAATATTTTGACACATGATAATTATTAGTTTCTCCACGATTTCTTCCTGCCAATGTCAATCCATGTCAATATTATCGTACGTGCGCTGAAATCGTCCTCGACTTCGGGAAAGCGAATTTTCAAAAGAAAACTATGAAAAAATAAATACGTGAACGTATTCATTTCACTGCATGCATTTTTTTTCAGTACATATGAAAATTATTTTCGAAATCCACACTATTACACGATCTCGTTGATCGGTTTATTGATCTAGATCAGGGTTCCAGTCCCAGTCGAACTCGAGATATGAGTCGAACTCGACTGGGACTGGAAAAAGACTTAAATCTGCACGTGTGGGTATTCCGTTTCCAGAATTCATACACAAGAAATTCCTAGGGCGTGGATTACGGGATGCTTAAATAATAAATACAAATTTTAAAAAGAACAAACAAATATGTTAGGAAAAATTTCGAAAGTAATTTTCGTTATCAAATCAAATTCATGACGTTTATTTTTTTATGTGACAACACTGGTCTGATATAATCTATGGAAATAAATGAATTTGGTTCGATCGAAGCATCGGCTGCATAGTCAGTTGTTTAGCAATGGTTATTAATAAAAAGTAGTATATTTGTATGACGGGCATTTTAAAATATTAAAATAAAATCGTCCTTGAAAACAATTATTTTACAAAAATGCACCTTATCCAATGGTTTCAGGGTCGATGCTTTAATAATACCGTAGTATTTATGTATTTTATCCATCGACTGTCTGAAGTGTGTTGCTATGGGAAATTGAAACGTATAAAACAAAACTTCTAATAGATTAAAACAAAAACAAAATACATAAATGAAAATTTCAAATTTAAAAATATAACGACGTTAATTCAACAAAAATATATAATGAAAGAGAGATAAATAAATAAATAATTTAAAATGGAATTGGAAACGCTAAAACACAATTTTGATTTAAATTTAATTAATCGAATAATTTAAATTTGGCAGTACCTTAACAACATGCGTCTGATAAACGATAGATACGACAGAGAGATGTAGTTGTAAGTGAATCGTGTAGAGATGAAGTTTAATAACGTGTATGTGTGTGTGCACGCGCAGTACGGGCGTGTCTGGCGCGTCCACGCCGAGCAAGCCCGCGCCCAGCCCGCCGCCGCGACCCGCTAACAGCACAGGTAAATAATCAAATATACACTTTTTTTAATTATTCGTTATAGGCAAAGGAGTCAACTGGAAGTCGAAGTCTCAGTAAACGAATAAATACTTTTTTTTAAATTCGATATGGGCAAAGGAGTCCACCGGAAGTCGACTGTGAGATATCCGAGACAGAGACGCATGATTACTTCTCGGATTGTGTTACGAGAAATAATGACGTAAACGTGCACAAAGCTGTTTCTCATCGTAGAACTCATATATTAAACCCGTGTACCCAAAAAGCAATCATTTGGTAGTCGGATTCAGAGTACACTGTAGTTTTCCTGTCATTTGAGCCATGCTAATCTGTATTTTGTAGACGGTCAACACAGAACCTTGATTCTGCTAGGGTGACCCCGCACGAATTATTGCCATGACAGTTCCGCATTAAGTTTGACGCGAAGCCAAAAAAAAATTGTTGCTTGTTTTTTTTTTATTGGCTATGCGATCGCGTCCCTTTCATCCGACTAGTATCAGAATGCTTTCGTTTCTATGATAGAGGACGTTTAATAGTAATGTTCATTTTTAAAGCAAACTATGCGATCTATTCATACTATATCAATGTTATTAATTAGTATTAATCGTTTGAAAAATCATAATATACAACCATTGTCAAATAATAATGTGCTAAAGTTTTCCTCGTACTCACAAATTTGCTTATCTATGCTATTGCGTTGTAAATTTTATGTTCAGTAAATAACATAAAAAAAAATTACTCTATATACATATATGTATATTAAAATCTGTTTTTTTTTTATGTATTGTTGATCAATTCATAATTTTTTTTTTTACTAAATGTAATTACAAACGAAATACGACATAAAACGAATTGTAACGAGTTTTTTGTTTTTTTAAATCGAATTGCATCGCTTTATTAAGGGAAACGTTGCGGTTATTATTAACGCTGTTATCTCCCGTACGATAGCGTACGGCGTATTGTTTACAAAACAAATAACATTATCGCGCGCCGCCCGTGAATGGAACGAGAACGCTGACATTCTCATTAGTACGGGCACCCGATTAATTCGTATTGGAATCGTTCCAAATTTCGAACACGGGGCACAGGAATTGGCTTTCGGCCAGCCTTATGACACGCCAGTCGCCAGGCTGCGTGGAACGAGGCGCTTGCCTCGGAACGAAACGAAAAATAAAACAATCGCAAAATGATTTCCCGCGTAAACGACCACTGAATATGGACGATGGTAAAAAAATTAAAACGTAGGAATTTTTAAAAACGTGTTTTGTGCATGTGTGCTTGGAACTGTGAAATCTTAACTGATCTCCGGGTAGGTCGAGTTCTCTCGCCGCGTAGTTGTGTACCAATGTTTATGTTTCTTTTCAAGTTCACGCTGTTTTGTTATGTAATCAATGTTTTGGAATGACGAGCGTTTTTTTTTTTTTTTAATCTCTTCATCGCTTTCACCCAAGCCCGAAAATATTTGTATCATAAGAACGTTGTGTACTACTTTGTGTTATATGGCGAGGCTATTTGTTGTAACTATAAACATTAAACAGTTACATTGATGCCTAAGAATAAATTTAATTATTTCAAACAACATTATGTGCTAGTGAATTTTTTTTATTTTTTTTTTAGATTTATTGCTCAGATGGGTGAACGAGCTCAGAGCCCACCTGGTGTTAAGTGGTTACTAGAGCCCATAGACATGTACAACGTAAGTGCCGCCATCCACCTTGAGATATGAGTTCTAAGGTTTCAGTTTTTGCATTACAACGGCTGCCCCACCTTTCAAACCGAAACGCATGACTGCTTCACGGCAGAAATAGACAGGGCGGTGGTACCTACCGGTGCGGACTCACAAGACATCCACACACACACACCAGTGGTCTATGCAATGAGACGGAATAACAATACGGATACTGTCATTATCATTGAAAATTAGAAATGTAATGAGTAATGTCGATATTTTATCAGTCACGTCTTTTGATATATTTTCTTAAATATGTAACGATCTCTTAATTATTATTATTTGTACAATAAATACATTATTTACTAAATCTAGCAATGTTTTCAATTACTATTTTAATTCCAAACATTTAATTAAATGATAGATGGAAAAATTGTTTAAAGATTCATTACAGGATTTTTTTTTTTAAATCGCAAGCATTTTTTTAATTGTTATGTTATAGATGTCTATGGGCACCGGTAATCACATAACACCAGGTGGGCTCTGAGCTCGTCCACACACCTAAGCAATAAAAAAAAAATAAAAAAAATTCAGTATTAGTCTACATTGTATTGTAAAATATTGTACGGGTTACGCCTTTTATACTACCAATTTGTAGATGATTCGCTTGCAGCCTATTAACGCCACTACTGAATACCCATCTTAAAAGATAATCTTTGAAGCTTCAATTACATCAAAACATGGCTATGCTTCCACTTAAATCAGCGCTCAAGTTTGCCTCGCGCCAAAAATAGATCACTTGTAGAGGGTAGTAATACAAAGAGAAAGAGAGAGAGAAAGAGAATTAATAAATTAAAAACTTTAAAATGTTTATTCATCTTCTTGTTTGCTAGAATATAAAATTTTGATCAAATGTTTATTGAAAGAAAGATGGACTAAAAATTTGCTGCACGTCTATGATGCATCAGAACTAATTATTGGAAATGTGCAATATTATAACATGTTTTAAGAAACCGATATGTGACTTAATTTGACATAACCCTGCAATTGTTATTTCTTTACAAATATATGACTATTTTTAGGGTTTTTTATCACAACTTTTTACTGTCATTATGTTATGTGTAGAATTCTTTAACAATTACTTTTATTCAGGGGCACAGCAAAGCCACTGCCTACTACGAATTAATAGAACCGTCAAAATGTTGTTACAGAAGTAGTCGAGAATGGTCCAGTATCAATCACAGCAGCGGTCAACACGACGACGACGCATCTACCGCCTCCCCCCACGCAGCAACCACCCCCAGTAAGTATGTAGCTGCTCCTGTCCGCGATCATTGGAAACTTGAATAATGTTGGCAAGAAAACTCGCACCTAACGCATGTAACATGAACTGTATCTCAACAACAATATTCATATACTGAAAATAATCGAAAACAACATATAAAAAAAAGACAAAAAAACAGACTAGATTAGAGTAGGTCGACATATGTGCACGTGCGCCTGAGGTCAATCACCGCCATTTAGGGTCATTGACCCTACGGCTCTCAGCTGTTTTTATGATTTGGTATTCCTGTGTATGAATTTTTTCAAGACTATTTATATAAATTTCTCTGACCATAATGATGGAATTTTGTCCCTGTCCACGGTATGTATGGGATTACATAACGGATTTAGTCGTCATCGAATTATTTGACAACGAGTTGCTATTGGTGTATAGCGAACATAAACTAACACGGTAAACGTTGCAACTGGTCCGGAGCTGAAAATGAGACTGAAGATATTGAGATGTTGCAAGTGACAGTGAAAAAAATTCAGAGTTGATTATTGTTGCAACTGATGCGAAGGCTCCGAGCTTACAACGTATTGCGGCTGGCCTTTAGAACATACAATAATAGAAGAAACGTGACTCGTGCCACCCAATCTCGGTACATTGCTAATATATCTATCCCGAGTCAAGACCAAACTCCAAAATTGAAACAATATTACAGCTGCACCGGTGTGTTAAGGCGCTCAGTTTATTGTATAGTTGTTGTGTTGTGTTACAGACGTCGCGGAGTACATCGTCGAGTGGCGGCGCCAGCGCGAGCGTGACGACGTCCCCCCTCACCGTCAACGGCCCCCCTCCCTCCGCGCACCACACGCCGCACCACGCGCTCAACAAGTACAACATTTTTACTACAACTACTAAAACTTGTTCACCAACCCTATTGGTATTATAGAGGTAATTGGAGCCCATAGACATCAATTCTTTTCTACCCATCTTGAGATGTGAAATCTTATTCTATAAAGTGGAACTCTTGAAAGTTTTATTATGTTAGTGTATTAGAATTTGTCAACATCAGCCCAACAGTTTTTGTCGGTTGTCATTCCGATATAATGGAGAAAAGAGTTCAGATTGCTATGAAAACACTTTCTTTTTTTTCCTACCTATACTGATAGCCTTGAGAGGCTATATCAACTTCGCTCTAACGTGTAGGTGAGCTCACGGGGCTCAAACCGGACTGTTGCTAATACTGGCCCTAGCAAGAGCAGTGCTTTGCAGAATCTACCACCGGGTCGGAAACGCGACCCACAGAAGATCTGGCGAGAAACTCAGCGGGCTGTAATTTTTCACAAGCAATATAAAAAGATTTCAGTATACTCTTCAGGACCTCTTGTGAGTCCGCGCGGGTGGGTACCACCACCCTACCTATTTCTGCCGTGAAGCAGTAATGCGTTTCGGTTTGAAAGGTGAGGCAGCCGTTGTAACTATACTGAGACCTTAGAACTTATATCTCAAGGTGGGTGGCGCATTTACGGTTGGAGATGTTTATGGGCTCTAGTAACCACTTAACACCAGGTGGGCTGTGAGCTCGTCCACCAGTCCAAGCAATAAAAAACAAGATTTCAGTATAACATATAAATCAATCAAATCAGATTAATTGGAAACGAAGTGTCTGACTATGATGTGTGTGTATTCCAGTGGACGAGTGAGCGAGACGTCGAGCATGTCGGCGGTGAGCGCGTCGAGTGCCACGAGCGCGAGCAGTGCGGCGCACAACACCGCCTCGCTCAAGAGCATGGCGCAGGAGGCCGTGCACCGCGCCGGTCTGGACCTGCACCACCAGGTGCGCACGCACCCCGCCGTTATATAGCAATTGGTTGTAAAGATGAGGCGTATTTACGCTACCAGGTTTTCATCTTCGAAATAGACGCCCTAAAACGAGCACCGGTCATCTTTCCCGTCGAACCCTTCGCTTGCGACGAAGAGCTCGACGAGTAAATTAACCCTCAGACACAGCCCACTGAGTTTCTTGCCGGATTTTCTCAGTGGGTCGCGTTTCCGATCCGGTGGTAAATTCTGCGAAGCACGGCTCTTGCTAGGGTTTGTGTTAGTCAACGTTGTCAGGTTTGAGCCCCGTGAGCTCATCTACTAGTTGAGGTTACGCTGAAACAGCCTCTCAAGGCTCTCAGCTTAGGTAGGAAAAAAAGATACAAGCAAAAAATACTTGCAAGCATAGCAACTAGCAAGAAAGTACAATATTTGCTGAAGTCGGATGCTCAAAAAACTTGAACACCCACATGAAAATACTGCATAGGAAAATGATTCATACCCTATTAGGAATAAAAAACACAATCGAATTTGTGAATAAAAAGTACTTTGAATTTCAAAGGTTTTTATTTATTTATACGATTTTGCTCCTTATTCTTCATGGAATACGGGTTGAATTCCTATGCAAGTATTTTCAAATGTGAACACCGCCGCATCTCAAGGAGTAGGTACGCATACGGGGCTTGACGCGCAGGGAGTGGGTTACCCAGCCCGAGTATTTCCGATAAAAGCCGAATGCATGAACCGAAAATTTAATGCACATGCCATCCGATTGTATCGGGAACTTGTCAATCAATAAGCAAACATAACCGAAACAAAATTAGGAGCATAATTGCGTAAATTCATAAAAAATCTTTGATACTAACAAATACTTTCAAGTATTTTTTAAACCTGGCTATTGACTCTGGTATTTATCGCCCGCTCATCCCTAATTGGTTGTCCCACTCTTACAGTAACAAAGCTTTTCGCACTAGTAATGTTTTAATGTTGTCTTCTGCAGAACACGAGACGGAGTACGGCAATAGCGCAAGCGCACATTCCGCCACTATTAGGAGTCGCGCCCTTAGGACCGCAGCCACTTGACTCGGTGAGTACAACGTTACGATCCACATATCATTTAGGGCTTTTAGAAAATGAATGTATGAATACAGGATGTATGGTATAAATATTTGAAAAAATCAGAATTAAGTATACACTTTTTTTTGGTAGTCACCACTGTCAGAGACGGCACAATGAGACCTTTGCAACTCTTGTTATCACACATCATCTCTTACCAAACGTAACTCTGATTTAAATTTTTCTAAATGTACAGAATGTAACTAATAACAAAGAAAATGAATGTTCTTTATTGATTTATGTGCTCGTGCGTCCATTTCGTTGATAGTATTGAAACTTGGGACATGCAACGAAAGTTTGTCGTAATATCATAAACATAAAGCAGGCAGCGACAAACAAAGTGTACTAATTACTATACATTTTGTTCATGTTCACTTATAGTTGATAACTTGTTAGCTGGCTTATTTGATCTATTGGTATGGCTCAGATTATGATCTTACGGGCCTGGGATTGCTTTCTTTGTCTGCGAATTGCTCATGTATTTAGTACTTTGTTATGCTTATATATTTTTCTGTTTAAAAAATGATGCGCCTGCAACTTGGTGCATGTGAAAGAAATGAAACGTTTTTTTAAATTCCGTCTTTAAAAATAAAATATAAGATAGTTAATATGTTACTGCCATCTAGAGGAAGGAGCAATGAGAAACTAATAACAAGCCATCTAGTGGCCGACGCCCGTAAACAGAATGTGTATAAAAGAAACAACCTAGCCCGTTTTCGCTCTCCAAGGTTCGCGAGACGCTTTGTCTATTTTCTCACTCTCACTCGTCCTAAATTGTATCTTTTCTCTCTAGCCGTAACTAATCTGTCGCGATTGAAATTTGACTCTCAACTCGCCTAAAAAAGTTTCACTTCAAAACTTGTGCACCCATTTCAAGTTAAATGTAACAACAGTAGGAAAATAAAATGTTATATTCATTGGTGTTAATATTTTCCAGGGCCATCAAGTACAGTTCCAGATGATGGAGTCAGCGTTCTATCACATGCCCCACCCTTCAGACTCGGAACGTACAAGGGTCTACTTGCCTAGGAACATTTGTCGGACTCCTGAATATTACAATCAGGTAAACTAATGCTTATAGTAAAATACATACCTTAGAGATCGTAGTTTCGATGCTGTATATGACTGACTTCAGTTAAGGATAAATGATAGATGCAAGAAGATTACTGGTGGTAGGACCTCTTGTTATTCCGCACGGGTAGGTACCACCCTGCCTATTTCAGCCGTGAAGCAGTAATGCATTTAGGTTTGAAGGGCGGGGCAGCTGTTGTAACTATACTGAGACCTTAGAACTTATATCTCAAGGTGGATGGCGTCATTTACGGCAGTAGATGTCTATGGGCTCCGGTAACCACTTAACACCAGGTGGGTCGTGAGCTCGTCCACCCACTTGAGCAATAAATAAAAAAAATAGCAATAGCTGGTGTCGTATATTCTTATTGATTACCAAACCGTTGTCATGTTTGGTAATGTTGTTAATAGCCTTGATGACTACAGTGTTCTATACATTTTGAAACAAACTGAAGGTCGATATAATATATTTAGTAAGTCCTACTTTGGAGCCATTTGATGCATGTATATTTATTAATTTCCATAATAGTTTCTGATACTTTTGATCCAATGCTTATTTAATTTCAACAACAATGATAGTTTAATATTTCCAGGTGTTATTACCCCATTCGGACACGGTAGAGTTCTTCCAGCGGTTGTCGACGGAGACGTTGTTCTTCGTGTTCTACTACATGGAGGGAACGAAAGCGCAGTACCTCGCAGCGAAAGCGCTCAAAAAACAAAGCTGGCGCTTCCATACTAAATACATGATGTGGTTCCAGAGGCACGAGGAACCAAAAGTCATCAATGAGGAATATGAACAGGTTCAGTTTAATCACCATGTATTAGCAGCAAAATTATTTATAAATATTTTAACTATGCTGGGATTGATCGGTCGATCTGTTGTGCACATTCTTTTCTAATCTGCCTGCGAAACACATAAATTGTAATATGTTTTAAGCATTTTCTTCTAAATTCGATTCTTACAAATCACATGTACATTTTGTAATTACAATTTACCCACTACACAAGTATTTATGCTAAGTTTAAGTTTGCTAACTAACTTTTGTACTAGCTACCGTATGCTAAGTAATATGGAGCTTACCAAACTTTAAGGTTCATGTTCTGGCATTAGGCAAGTACACGGATTTTTGTCAATGCTTAAATAATCAAACCTTAGGTTATAGGCGTAAGAATCCCCAGCTGCTATATCTTGAAAAGTGGCTCGTAGGACTTCGTTTGTAGAATATACTTCTTCCGCTTTACAGGAAAAAAAAAACCTTTATTTCAGACACGAACATCAAATAAACAAACCCGCAAAATTAAAATTTGCGTAATAACTGGTGGTAGGACACATTGTGAGTCCGCACGGGTAGGTACCACCGCCCTGCCTATTTCTGCCGTGAAGCAGTAATACATTTCGGTTTGAAAAGCTGTTGTACTATACTGAGGCCTTAGAACTCATATCTCAAGGTGGGTGGCGGCATTTACGTTGTAGATGTCTATGGGCTCCGGTAACCACGGCACCAGGTGGGCTGTGAGTTCGTCCACCTATCTAAGCAATAAAAAAAAGCACAAAAAATATTTTATCCATTTATTCGTAATGTTTTAGGGCACATACATCTATTTCGACTACGAGAAGTGGGGCCAGCGCAAAAAGGAGGGCTTCACGTTCGAGTACAAGTACTTAGAGGACCGAGACTTGAATTGAACCTGCGTCACCGAACCGCCGTCCGCACTCGCGTCTACTACACACCACCTGCGCGCAGACCACTCGATAACTATACACGACATTCCTATATTTAGGAAATTTTTAGTTGTAATTACCAAAAAATACTTATGATAAAACAACTCGCACCGTTTTTTCTGTATGTGCATACGGGAAGCCAGCCGTGTCATTCGAAATTGAGCACGCACCGGAATGCTCACAGGTTGGAACTCGTGTGTACGTGACGTGTTCACGAGCGCTCACGTTTGTCAGGCCGCGGCTCCGCCGTTTGCCAACGTAAGCTAATAAAAAAAAACATGTACCTGAAATAAATTTCATGGACTGGTATTTATATAGAGACAATGTTATGACGATGGTTTTACGGGAAAGATGTTTTAATGAACGTCGCATCGAGACGATGGAAACGGATCGCGATGTCAACGCGAGGGAACCTGAAGTTACTACTACATTATGATCCACGATAATAGCGTCGACCGGGACTAGTGATGCTATCGATAGTTTTATATCGATGTAGTACTTTAACGGCTCGATTCTATTATCGATTTAAATGTTCGGACACGAGATTTTTTTTGTTAATCATGAAGAAATCTTTTGTATAAATAGCTTTCTGGCAGTCAGTGATGTAGTGTTGTTTTTTTTTTTAAATAATTGAACAAAAAAGCGAAAGATATCATGTGATGCAGTATATTTAGTCAGCCGTGCGCGGTCGTTAAGAACTAATGTGATATTGTTATAAGCTCGGAACATTCTTGGACTACTGTTAGATAAATTGTGAATGTGTGAAAGGCGTTGCGTGCGTAGCTATAAGAGGTTCGATGTTGACAATTTAATAGTTTAGAATGTTGTAATTGCCTAGTCTGAATTCCGATATACGAACTTATCCAATAGTTTCTTTCGAATCAATTTATAGAATTGTACAGTTTGCAAAAGCGTTGATGAATATAATAGACTTTTTTCCTAATATACAATGAGGTCTTTGAGTGACAAATACCTTCGCACTGTTTGTCACTCAAAGAACTATAAATAATCGATAATCGCGGATGATTAACGAATACCGATTTCTCACATACACTATCGATACTTAAGTTGTTGACACGATGTTTTCATTAGTTTTATAATACAAATTAATAATTGAACACAACCACCACAATACTATAGATCTGTATTTTTAGTATTCCATGTGTGATCTCGTGTTTAGTGAATTACACGCTCCGAGTTTGTTCCGAGACGTTTTTATAACTTCTGCTTTAGACGTTAAATTTTGGTTTTAAGCGCTGCGACGTGTGCTTCACTTAGACTTGTTACGAATCTAAAATTTCATAATGAATGATAAAGCATAATCTGTAATTGTTTTTGTCTACGTGCGATTAGGTAATCCAATATATATATAAATATAGGCGATTTTTATATTCGAAAAACGGCAGACAAATGTTTTGTAAATATTGGAAAATTTCAAAATTTGGCACGATTTATACCAGATGAGTTTCTCGAATACAAGATGAGATTAAGTTATGATCGGTGGCGGGGCGTTTTGTGATCCGCCGTGGAGAGGTTTCCACCACTCTGTCAATTTCTGCTACAAAGCCGGGACAATGTAATTCAATGTAATTGAAGACTTTTCCTCATGCCTCACAGTGCAGGCTTTCATGTTATGATGTCTGCGTGTTCTGGATACCATTCTAATACCAGGCTGGTCGTGAACATGTTTACTACGATAAAACAAGGTCGAACTTTGATATATGTATAGCTTCTGACTCGTCATAGACAAGGAGTTTTACTACACTCTTTTCAAACGACAACATAATGTTTGTTTACACTTATCAAAATATTATCGAGTGCTATTCTCGCTTGTATTAAAAAAACTGTACTTGTGTAATCAGCCCTTGTTTTAGATTTTGTTAACTGTTATTGATTTCTGATAGAAAACTGATTTGGTAATGAAATTCTTTGTGATGCACACGTTATGTCTCTGTATAGTTTATAAAGTGTTAAGTAAAAACAGTGTGATCCTGTTTGCTGCGGCTGTGTGTACGCTTTTCCATCTCGAATGCTCGATAACAAGGTGTTATAAATAATAGTATTATAATTGTAATAGTGTAATCGCAAAGTACATCGTCAATGATTTGTTTTATTATTGTATGAAAATAACATCGAAAAATACGATACGTACGTTTTAATTAGTTAAGGATCGATATAATCAGCTCAAATGTTCTATGTACAATTGTATAATTTAAAGAAGTTAAAAAAAAAAAATGAAGAAAAAATCTAATTTATTGTAAACATAATGGTTGAACATACTAATGATTACTTTGTATGATGTTGTAATATGTGATATTGCTAGTTATGTTCTAGATGTAAAAGCGTATGACGTTAGCGTTAGCAAAGACCTCCACAGTGCATACTGCCAGATTAGAAGCGTTCGTCGTAAAATGATCGATGTCAACACCGAAACATCGTTTCCATACAGTGAAACCATAGTATAATGTTTGCATTTTCAAAAAAAAAAAAACATGTGTGCCCTTCGCTTTGCTTGGCGGTCTCGTTTGAACCACGTCAAGTTTGACGCAATACTTTTTGGCCGAAACGAATGTGGTATTTATAATTGAAAGCCAAAAAATGTCGTATCAAATGTCCGAATTTGACTCGTACTGTCTGTGAAGTGGTGAAGCAAGCGCCGGGCACAGATCGTTGTTGAAAGCGTCCTTGTATATGAGTAGAGACGTGCAGCTAAGTGTTTGTGCGGAGACGCGTGTGTACATAGGGATGTAGGACGTCGCGGGACACTAGTTAGCGGTTACAGTGCGCGATCTCGTTTATTCCGTGCGTGATGTTGATAGTTTTCACTTTTGTAAAAAGTCTATCGTGAGAGCAGATGAAATGTGGTAAATAATAATTTAAAGAATATCTGTACAGTTCTATTTGTATAGAAATAATAAATAACGATTAAAAATAATTAAAACATGTTGTGATTTTCTTCTTGAAGGTTTAGTTTTAAGTCGTTTGAGTCGATATTTATAAATATATATATATATATATAGAGTTGTGCCCGCGCCGTGTTTAATGGCGTCGGACGTTTTAAGCATTTCATTTTTTTTATTTATTTTTCTATTGAAAGGAATGACTGTTTACTTTGTAGAATAAACAAATAAGAAGCATTTATAAATTTTGTTTATTTTAGGAGGAATGCGGCGACCATCAATGTAAAAAAAAATATAGTCTCACAGTTTATATTTCGGAAAACTTTCGAGTAATTAGTACTGACATGGAGAGCCGAGCTTCTTGACACGTAATGTTGTAAGAAAATTTCAAACCGGTACGAATGATTGGTTCGCAGAAGTGGGCATGACGGTAGTACTCGCGCATGAGTGCTACTATTAAAATTAACACAAAAAACAAAAAGTATCAGTCTCCGTATCCACAATTTATAGACGATCATAAGGTACTAGTAATGCAAAATGTATTTAGTACAAATTCAGAAAATGTTATATTTTTTACTCCGAAATTCTAACTAGAAACCTCATGGGTTATTGTAGGTCACGTGGCCTCGCTAGAGCCAATAGTAACGCGGCAAGCAAGAACGAAGACAGCTGACGATATGCGCTCTCTCTCACACTACGGCTTGTCTATAGTAGTACAGGCCCGTACCCATCCATTATTTGTTTGATCACCTGGCAGGTAGAAAGCCCTACCGAAATGATCTGTCTTTTTGGGAATCTTATTTTTTAGCTATAAATAACACTCCATTAAAATTTCAAGCTGCCTCAAAAACATTTTTTATAATTTTTTGCAAAAATTTTTGAAAGCGTCTGTCAATGTTACAACCCCGATTAAATTGTCTGGCTTCTTTTTTTTCGTATTTATTAAGTATTACACTGCAACATATATAAATTGCTTATGCCTCAAATTATTTTTGGGGAAAAAAAAATTAATATTTTTAAAAATGTAGGGGTTGATTTAGCCCCTCTACTGACCAGCCAGGTCTGCAATTCCGTGTTGGAATATAATAGGAGAGGTATGTGACAAGTTTTCAGCTTGCCTCAAATACCTACCCAAAAATTGGTACCAGCTCTCGGACTATACCGACAATCCAAACGGGCCAGTGAAGACTAAAATGTGCTTCAGCTCACATCTATAGATAGCTGACAATGATAAGGTTTGAAATCGTTCTACTAAAGGAAAATAAAAGATTATAATTTATTATAAAATTGTATTTCATCGTTTCCGTTTCTTGCCAGCGTGTTTAGGTTTCCCCTTGATCCGTCTGCGGACTCCGACCGCATCCTCTGTGTCGTCGTCAGAGTCGGCACCTCGCTTCTTACCCTTCGTACTCTTCTTGTCTTCTAGTTCTTTCATTTCCTAGTGAAATTTCCAAAAATTAATCTATAGATCATATTAAGGGTTTCAATGAATGCTTCTAATTTCTTCTTTGAATTGAAAATATAGGAACTTTGGCCTATCCTACGAGAAGTATGATGCGTGGAAACTTTCTGACAGAAATGACTACCACTAGTGAATGGGTTTTTCAAATGCCCTCCCTTTTTTTTTATTGCTTATTTGGGTGGACGAGCTCACAGCCCACCTGGTGTTAAGTGGTTACTGGAGCCCATAGACATCTACAACGTAAATGCGCCACCCACCTTGAGATATAAGTTCTAAGGTCTCAGTATCGTAACAACGGCTGCCCCACCCTTTAAACCGAAACGCATTACTGCTTCACGGCAGAAATAGGCAGGGCGGTGGTACCTTACCCATGTGGACTCACAAGAGGTCCTACCACCATTCACCAGTTAAAATTATGTTCTGTTCTGATGCTAACTCTCAATGCCGCTCAAATATTACGAATGAATCGTCCATTCTATTTAAATGTAACAAAATAGTAATTATTAGATGAACATACGATTCTAGTGAGACGTTGGGCCTCAGCGACCCTCTCCTGCAGCACCATGACCTCGCTCTCCTCCGTCTTGTATAAAGGCAGCTGTTTCCCGATCAACTGTTCAATTCGCTGGTATAACTCCACGTCGTACTGAAAAATTAATGTAAAACTTTTTTTTTCTATTTTGCAAGATTTTTTTACCTTCTGCCAAGCAGTTAGCAATTGCAGTACGAAGCAGGTTTGCGTTCCAATTTGAAGGTTAGGACAACTATTTTGCTATACAAATTTTGATCTTGTGTCGAGTTAAGTTAGTGACGACATCCACATAGTGATGTTTGAACTCCCGGTAACCACTTAATACAATGTTCTGGGCGTTCATTTACCCCTGTGAGCAATAACTAAATAAAAAATCGCTGTACATACCTGCGTGACAAAAGTGATAGCTTTACCGGCCCTCCCGGCGCGGGCGGTGCGGCCCACGCGGTGGATGTAGTCCTTGCTGTGCAGCGGGATGTCCAGGTTTATCACGACGTCCACGTGAGGAATGTCCAGACCTCTGGAACGTAGTAAACGTGTATTGTCAATAAACAAGTCTTATACGCACAGAAATACGGTTTGAAAGGCGGGGCAGCCGTTGCAACTACACTGAGATCTCAAGGTGAATGGCGCAGTTACGTCGTAGAAGTCTATGGGCTCAGCAACCACTTAACACCAGGTGGGCTGTGAGCTCGTCCACCCATATAATAATAAAAAAAAGAATTTAAACGATTTTGTGATTACATGGAGGAATCATATCGAAGGGTGGAAGGCTATTTGGTTTAAGCGACATCTCGCTTAATACGCGACTTTTATCTTGAAATTAAAGGCGCGTTTTATTTGGTATCAGTGTCAACAACTTGATTTCAAATGCGTTTCAACCATAATTCGTTTAATATAAGGATTAAAAGTGGTTAAAAAGAAGCGGGCACAGATCTGTGACAAGACGGTTTATGGGGGATGCACAGAACTGTGTCACAAATGTTCGGTTGTGAAAAAAGGTTGTGAACTTCAATTAAGTATACTCCATTCAAATAGCTAAACATTTTTTTTTCTTATGATATTTTTCCAAATTTTATACTTTAAATGGCTCTTCTGTATAGTTACAAAAATGTCGCTTAAACTGATTAACTTTTCACCACTCGATATGCACATTTCAATGAAGATATATTTCAAGCTATACACACACACCTGGATGCTACGTCAGTACAGATCAACACCGATCTGGATTTGCTCTTGAATTTGTTCAGGGCTGCGAGACGTTTATTCTGAGACATCTGACCGTGTAGTGGTACCGCGGCCAGACCCAAGTTTCTGAGAAGTAATGCACAGCGCAGTGCACCGGCGCACGTCGAGACGAAAACGATAAACGAGTTTCCAGCCATCTCGTTGAGAATGTGAACTAGATATACATCCTGTAAAAATTTAGATCAATGATTACTTGTAGTACTAACTATACTTGAGACCTTAGAACTTATATCTCAAGGTGGGTGGCGCGTTTACGTTGTAGTTGTCTATGGGCTCCAGTAACCACTTAACACCAGGTGGGCTGTGAGCTCGTCCACCCATCAAAGCAATAAGAAAAAATAGTTGCTCAAATATATTATAGAAAGGATTTTCTTTTATGTTTTCAATTAAAAATATTTATGACAGAAGTTTAATAGATAATCATAAAAACATCAAAATACCTAGTAATACTTATGTTGTAAACAAATTACAAGAGGAGTAACAATTACAAATAATAAATAAATAAATAAATCACGCCACGTTAACTGGTCCCGTGATAAGTTCGTAAAGAACTTGTGTTACAGGTACCAGATAACGGAAATAAATGTAAGATTTTTATTATACACCTACATATATGTAATATACATCCATAACCCTGGAAAAGACATTTATATTTATCATACAAATATCTTCCTTTGGCGGGATTCGAACCCGCGACCCCCGTATGTAGTGACCATGTCCCTTCCACTACACCAGACGGCCGTTAAATAAAAGTTAATAACCTGTGTTGAGGATTTATGGTATAATTAAAATTGCTTTTACGGTTTAACATCGCCTTTTGGATAATCACAATATTTTTTCCAGTCAGTGCTCAGTTGTCCTTGACTATAAAAATTGTAATGAATTCGAAACATCAAATAAAATGTTACGGTGATAAAAAACGCGAGATAAAACTTGTAAAGTACTTTTAATTATGTGTAAGACTCGCAAAATTCAACAAGAGAAAATAGTAGTAGAGAGCGTATAAGAGAGTGTTTAATAAACATGATAATAAAAGTATCCATATAAAGGGTAAAATAATAATATCTCAAACTTATTATGCTAATATAATATGCAATCACTGCAACTATCGTCATAGAATGTTTTGCTTAGAACTAGTTTACATCAAGCTGCACAAACCTTGGATAATTTGTCAAGTGAGTCGACTATTATCAAAGCCGGCAATGTGACTTGGACAATTACTGGTAAATCAGAAAAACGAATTATTGACTTTGTATTCCATTGGCAGTCACAAAACTCTTCTGAACGACGTCTTCGATAAATAACAGGTTAAGTTAATACTTTATTTAATGCAGGTTTTGAACCGTATTCTTTGAAGGAGACGATTATATTCAAATCAATCTGTATTGACATATCAATAACATTTTTTTGTCCAAATGCACAGATTGCCACCTTTGATAATAGACGACTCAAGTTGTAGAATTGAATATTAATAGATCAACTGAGTCATACTCATAGAAATTATACCTTAAAGCGGAAACCAAGTTTGGATAAACGGAGCTGCAAAACATCAATGGTATAATGATGATACCACAATTTCTAAAGCAAAAGAAGTCGAATTTTAAGTATTATTCTTACCTTAAACTTAACAGGTATGAAGATGTAGGATTGCATAAGCTTATCAACAGTCTGGTACTTTGTAGACACCTCCACTTTCACAGGGTCTTGTAATGATGCCCGTTGGAGCTTCTGCACTTTCTTCGTCATTGTTGCAGAGAAGAGATAAGTGTGGCGTTCTCTTGGTATCACACGGAGAATCTTGTCCACTTCCACTTCGAAATCCATGTTGAGAATTCTATCCGCTTCATCCATTACCTGTTTAAATGGATCTCATCAATATTAGAGCAATTTTGCCCAATGAAAAAATATATATCTATGTATCCCCTTCTTCTATAAAAGCTCATAGTCATAATAGTATTGAATTGCACATTCCATTACTGTTTTATTTATGATCATTTATTTTACAGCTTGTAAGTAATTCTGCTTATGTTGACTTCATTTGTACTGGTAGTAGGACCTCTTGGGTCCACACGGGTAGGTAGCACCACCCTGCCTATTTTTGCAGTGAAGCAGTAATGCGTTTCGGTTTGAAGGGTGGGCAGCCGTTGTAACTATACTGAGATCTTAGAACTTATATCTCAAGGTGGGTGGCGCATTTACGTTGTAGATGTCTATGGGCTCCAGTAACCACTTAACACCAGGTGGGCTGTGAGCTCGTCCACCCATCTAAGCTATAAAAAAAAAATTGTTTATTTCTACTGTTTTGTATATAATTTCAGTTTAAATTAATCTCTATTGTTTTAACTTAATGGAAACTGATAAAAATATGTTAATAGCTTACTAAATATTTTAGAGGCCTTAAATTAAACCCCTTGGTATTCTCCAGGTGGTCAACCAATCTTCCGGGAGTGGCGATGATTATGTGAGGTTTCTTGGATAGCATTAGAGCTTGTGCCACCATGTCCATACCACCAACTATTACTGCACATTTTACACCTATGCTTGCACCTATAACAGATTTTATAAATCATTCATAGCTGTCAATGATACTTAGAAACATTAAACTGCAGATGTTATACAGATTTTTATTTACTCAATCAGAATGAAATGTCCATTGTAAAAAACACCTATATAATATCACTTATAGACTTTTTATTACACTCCCTATTTATCCTTCTTCTGATTTACTTTAGAAAAGTTCGGTTGGACATAATTGTGACATTGATCGGACATAATAATCTTGTGTATATTTTTTGTGCACAGTAGCCTATGACTTAATGGTAAATAACAGTCAAATATTTAGGAGATTAAGCCGTAATAGTAGTTTTATTGTGATTGTGTTAGATATGTCTAAAAAACAAGACACACCAACACAGCAATACTTTTATTGCAATTTATTCCTCCTCCTTTTATTGCTATACTATTTTATAATAACTCATTTTAATTTGAATTGTTTTGGTAGCCAGTTATACTTTACTATTTTATAATGATAACTGGCTACCAAAACATAATTCAAATTAAAAGAATTTAGTGACATAAGAGCATTTGGTGAGCAAAAGTTCCTACTGTGCTAATTGTCAACAGCAACTAAGTCAGCAGCCTCCATTTTCCCATGTTTATGCGCTCCAATAGCCACTAACCAACTAAGTGTGCTATAAGCCAATTAATGAGTTACTCAGCTACAACAATAATAACCAAAAAACATTCAAGGCCCTTCTAACATTTTATTGCATCTTTTCTTCACTACATAGTATAAAACAAAGTTGCTTTCTCTGTCCCTATATTCCTATGTATGCTTAAATCTTTACAACTTCGCAACTGATTTTGATGCGGTTTTTTTATAGATAGAGTGATTGAAGAGGAAGGTTTATAGGTATAATAACATCCATTAAATAGTGGAGAAATCAATAATACAGTTTCCGAAGTGAAGCGAAGGCGGGTTGCTGGTATTCTTATAATAAAAACAATTAATTCCCTCATATTTGCATACATATTCTGTTATTGCTGTTTGCTCTTGATAAATGAACAAATTGTAATTTAACTTTATTATCTTACCAAGTGCTTCAAATTGTTCTGATATCTGAAATGCCAGTTCCCTTGTTGGAGTAAGTATAAGTGCAAAATATCTCTGTGGGTTCTCCAATAGTGCTTGAAGTATGGGCAGGGCAAAGGCACCTGTCTTACCAGAACCTGTCTCTGCAAGACCAATGATATCTTTGCCTAGTAATGCGACGGGAATAGCTTCTTTTTGAATTTTAGAGGGTTTCTTCCATTTCAATTCTTCACAAGCCTCGCAGAGTACGTCTACAACTCCCTGTGGTTAAATGCAAACATAATCTTATGTTTATAACCTCAAAAAGTGTTATTTTTATTCTACGTTGAAGCAAATCCGTAATTCTAAGGCATCATTTGATATTAAAATCAATAAAATTATATTACAGTATTTACTTAGTATTACAAACACAGTTTAATGTAAAAACTCACCAAATCCTTAAACGTTATTTTATCATCTTCAGTATCTTCGGTGACATTTTCGGTCGGAGTTTGTTCCACCTCACTATCCTGATTGGTTTCGTCTCCATAGCTTTCCTTGTCTGCAGTCATTTTCTCTAAATTATCATTGTTTTGGGGAATACAAAAAAGACGCGAATATTGAAAGCATGTATTTGAAATTTGAAGGGTATGCTGATTTCTGAATCTATTTATTAAGTGACGTATGTGTCACCAATGTAAAACTGTCAAAAATATACTTGACAACTATGTGGCAGATCGCAAACCGCACTGAACAAGCCGGCAATTATGGACTTTTTGGCGGGAACGCGAGGAGTGAAGGTGTGTGATTTGTTTTATTTTGTCTATTTAGTGTTTCTTCAGGCTTAAATGTGTAATAACGGTGGTTTATTAACTGTTTAATATCTGTTACAGTGCACAAATTTGGGAAAATGAATCAAAGCCACTGGACATAACTTCTCGAGACCCTCCAAAAAGTCCACTGAAAAAGTCTCAGTAAATGACCACCATTTTACTGAGATTATACTTCATCTCATGTCATTTCATTTCGTTTTCATTTCACTTCATGCCATGTTTCATAATAATCAACTTCATTTCATTTCATAATATCATTTTCATATAAAAAAGATACGTATCAAATAAGACTTGACCTAAAAGTCTTAGATACCAGGTCATAAAATCCCTTAAAAAAAAATTAGCGGGTCTAAATCTTTGTAGGTTATTCGATTAAAAAACAGTAAACGGCAAGTTTGATAATAACAATAAAAACAAAAAAACATTCGCCAGCAAACAAGAACAAGTAAGACCTAACTAAAAACATGGCAAAACATCATCCAGATTTAATTTTCTGCAGGAAACAGCCCGGAGTCGGTTAGTAGTATTAAAAAATGGAAGACAACCAATTTTAGTGTCGCTTGTTTTAATGCTATTTCTTATTTTTCCAGCTATTGGACGTTTATGTGAGAAATGTGACGGAAAATGTGTGATTTGCGATTCTTATGTGCGTCCGTGCACGTTAGTTCGTATTTGTGACGAGTGCAACTATGGCTCGTATCAGGGGCGATGTGTGATTTGCGGCGGGCCTGGAGTATCTGATGCTTATTATTGTAAGGAGTGCACGATACAGGAGAAGGATGTAAGTTTTAATTTTGTAATTTTTGAACTCAAATAATCGCATCGAAATCGTTAATTTAAATTTCCTCAAATCAAAAAACATCTTTGTATTTTGATAGTTTTAAAGAACACACAAGAAACTAGTCAACCTGACTTTATCAAGTGACCTGATAACGATTGTGTGCGTCCCCAATATCATGTACATTAAGCCAAGCCTAATAAAATGTATAGCCAAAAGGATTGTGGCATTGAAGTGGCATTGGGCAGGACACATTGCTCGTAGAACAGATGGCCATTGGGGCCAGAAAGTTCTTGAGTGGCGACCGCGTATCGGAATACGTAGCGTGGGTAGGCCTCCCACAAGATGGACCAATGGACGATGGCAGTGGATGTCTGTGCGCTGATAACAATAATAATAATAATAATACATATTATTATGCTAATAAAATTGTTATTTTTCACAGAGAGATGGCTGTCCAAAGATTGTCAATTTGGGAAGCTCTAAAACAGATCTGTTCTACGAGAGAAAGAAATATGGGTTTAGGAGACACTAGCATTAGGTTTCTTTTTAGTTTTTAAATATTAATTTCTGCAAAGTTTCTGTTATTTAAAATAATAAAAACAGAGGTTTTTCTCAACTAAAGTTTGATTGAAATACAAGTTTGTTTTTATCAACTACTTTGTTGTTGACTTTTTAAAGCCAACGGCTATTATGATCAAGTATGGTTTTCAATGTCTAAAGAGTTGCAGCTCGGGTCCAAGAGAAATTCTCATATATTTTTTTTGAAAATTTAAATTCATTCATTTATACAATTGGATTTTTGTTATCGATGATATCTTTGTATTTTTACAATTTTTTTTATCCTTTGTTTATTCAATGCAGATTAGTTTTCATTTTCCAACTAGAAAGAAAATTCTTGAAATATACATTTAGTTTTTGCATTTTAAATTATTAAGATTCATTAAAAATTTTTTGAGTTTTGGTCTAAATTGTCGATAAATATATTTTTGAATACCATATGTTCTGTAAAACTACAGACAATATGTTAGCAATATTCATGTATGTAATGAGAGTGATTGTACTGTGTGAATGTTGTCTGTCATATTTTGAAAACTATGTTTCTAGTGTGTACTTACATTAAGGCATTATGTAATTAAAAATAAATGCATTGGTATTACACATTTAATGGCCCTACGCTACCATTTTCTCCTTCGTCATGGGTCTGAGAAACAACCAAACATAACTAATTTCTAATCAAATATCTTTTGACTATCCGGGAATTATACATACCTGGACTATATTATATCTTTATATATATATTTCTTCTGTGTGTGTGTGTGTGTGTGTCACCGAACTCCTCCCAACGGCTGAGCCGATTTGAATGATTGTTTATGTATGCATTTGGGTGGCACCCTGGTTTAGATTCACAAATCAACCCAGCAGAGGGGGCTGCAGTCGGTATCTAGGTTATTTATCTTTCCTAGAAATAATTTCCCCCCCCCGCCCGCAAGCGGTACTGAATAGACGTGTATAATTGTGCTCCGATAAAATTTAAAGTTTATGGTTTTTTCTGCAATTTTTCTCACCAACTGTACTCTGGAATCGTGTAATAAACATTAGTGTCAGTGGGATGTAGTGTTATAATTACAAAATAGTTATAAACTATGATTAAGAAATAAAATTAAAAGTGAATCTCAAACTAAAAACAAGTGAATGACAATTAAGTGATAGACGGTGATAGATAAATAATAACTTTTTATGTACCCGCAATACTACGAAGTATATTATAAACCCGTAATTCGCACTCTTCGTAGAATCATCGTTGGTCTAGTCAGTCACGATGCAAGTTGTAAGCGACTGATCTGAGTTCGATTCCAAGTGGTCCACGTAAGACTTTTTGTATGGAAACATAATATTGTGCTTATCAAGAACATCATATTGTTGTATACTACTTGAAAATATTATATTAAACCAGAAGTATCTATAACTCGTAACATAGGTGCTCTCATTTGGAAATAACTTGCGTATCGATACCAACAAAAAACAAAGATGCCGCTTAACCGATCACCGCCATCTACACCACATAATACTGTTACACAAAATATTTCACCGAGTAGTTTAGTTCAAACAGAAACCGTAATGGATAGCGGCGATAAGGAATACCTAAATATAACACAACGAAATAAAAAACGCCAAAGATTCGAATCAAAACCCCAATCAAAGCAGAACACTGACAACTATCAATTTCAGAATTTTATGTCTGAAATGAAATCTATGTTTAATTTATTTAAAACACAACAAGATAAAAGCATAGAAAAAATTTACGAGGTCGTAGAACAGATTAAGAACCAAAACGACAGTATCCAATCATCCATAAATTTTTTATCTGAAAAATACGACGCACTTAATAAACAAATTGTTAATTTAGAAACTGAAACACGAAATAACCTAATATATATACAAGAACTAGAAAATAAACTCGAAAAAAACGAACAAAATATTAGAGCTCCCTGTGTGGAAATAAGAAATATACCTGGTCGTGAGAAGGAGACTAAAGACGATCTTTTAAGTATTTTATGGAAAATTACTGACACGCTGAATGTGCCGGTTGAAAACCATGAGATAAAAGATATTTTTCGCATAAGTACTAAGAAAAATCCATCTAAAAAAACTATTATTGTAGAGTTTACCACCAACCTCAAAAAAGAAAAATTTATTAGAATGTATAAAAAACACAATAAAGGAAATAATAAGCTTGGTACGGTTAACGTAGGTATGAGTGGACCAGACATGCCAATATTTATTTCGGAAAATCTTACAGCCAAAAAGAAGAGAGTTTTTTACCTGTCTAGGGATTTTGCTAAATGTAATGACTATCGCTACTGTTGGGTATCAAACGGAAAAATATTCATTAGGAAAAATGATGGATCCCCACAACACTTAATTAATGAAGAAGCAGATCTTAGAAAATTAAATATAACAATATGACAATTGTATGTCCAATGTTTTTGTAAGATAATTAATCGATTCTTGTTTTTATGCAACGAGGAAATATTGTTACTATTAATTGTTTCGTTATCCTTATTTTCGTTTAACTTACCCTATTGTTCGTTTAACTTACTCTATTTGTTTTGTCTTGTTTTTGTTGGATTGACTTATTTAAATAAATGTACTCAATATTGTGACACTTACATTTTACACTCCGCTACAAATCACACACATATAAAAAGTAATATTTTCTGCTCAAGTAATTTCTCATTTAAACAAATGAAGATAATATTTCAAGTACATATACTCAAACCTGTGCTACTATATTTTCGATTGGCAACAAATACTTATATTCTGACCATAGGTGACCCTCGCAAAAAGTACAACAAATTGTTAACTCTAACTTTCAAATATGGATGACACCACAGGCATGATAAACGATTTAAATTATTTAACTACTTCAAAATCCTACATTTGTGCTCCTGAAGAATGTTGTACATATGTCCAAAATGACATCACAGCGCTTAAAATCTTTCACATGAATATCAGAAGTATAGGTAGTATAGCTAACTTTAACAATTTTCTTANCACACACACACGCACACGCACACACACACACACACATACACTAATTGTACTTCTAGATTTTGAAATAATATTGTATTGATTTGATAATTGTATTTAAAATTAATTATTGTAATGTGTTTATGAAATATTTAAATTTATATGTTATTGTTCGTTGTGTGTAGGGGTTGGCGTTGTTATCTGCAACACAGTCTATGACTACAGCAGATAACATCGTTTCAATATTTGTTATTATGATTAAAATTGTATGTTTTTGTAATAAATAAATAAATAAATAAATAAATAAAATAAATTTATATGGTAAAACAACATTTGCCAGCTGGTAGTTTTATATAGTATTAGTGAGTAACACTATATAATTACACAATGAATTAGGTGGTCAAGCAAATATTTTAAAGTTATGGTATTGAATGAGAAAACTATTATATCGAGGGGTGAAGGGGTTTGGTTTAACTATTTGGTTTAAGCAACATTTTTGCAACTACAGGAGAGCCATTTAAACTAAAGTAACATTTGGAAAAAATATAATAACAAAAAACTTCTTCAACTATTTGAATGGGGTAAACTTAATTGAAGTTTAACTAAAAACATCGAATTGTTGGTACTAATACTAAATTAAATGAACCTTTAATTACGAAAATTAATGTCGGTTAAACCAAATAGTTCACCCCTCTCTCTATATACTGTAAAAACGGAGACTTAGAACTCATACCTCAAGGTGGGTGGTGGCACTTACGTTGTAGATGTCTATGGGCTCTGGTAACCACTTAACACCATGTTCGCCGTGAGCTCGTCCACCCATCGAAGCATAAAAAAAAAATGTCTGAAAAGACTGGGTTATAAATATAAAAGCTTTTTCAAATAAAAAAGACTTTGAAATCTAAACTGGTTTTTATTTCACTCAAACGTAAATCTAAGCCACCAACTACAAAAATAAAACTTAGACATTTTTTGTTAAATTCAAAGCTTTATTTGAAACTAACCGAAACAGATATGGCTTACTGTTTTATAAATAACAACATTGTTTTACAGAAACCATATTACATAACAATTATTACACAATAAAGATGAAAAGTAATAATTCATCTCTTCTAATTTCAATGCCATCTTATATTAGAAATATCAATAGAGAAAGGGCTACTGGTCAGATTAATCAAAACAGCCATATACAGAACAAACACAACCTCGTCTGTGTTATTTGGGGCCAAATTAAAAGACTAGCTAACTAGATCATGAACTAATTAACAACGACTATCCAAATCTGACTTCAGGTGTCGTGATTAGCTTGTGAAATTTTATTTAACCCTTTGTGTAAGCCGTCGATAGATCGACTCTCTATTCATGCGTATAAATTGCGGAGCGTCGGAATATTGCGACTATTGCGCAGTATGATTATAGTTATAGTAGAATTATTTTGTCCGTGCAGTTTGGGTCATAAAACATGGCCCGGCTAGGGCGGTGAGCATGTTGCGCGGACGCAACGCCATTATCGATAAAAACAAACAAGTCATCGAAGGCAGGTACTCGGCGGCGGGGTGGTATACGAAGGGTGGTGAGACATTGTTATGTTTTGAGTCATTTGTTGTACCTACCTGCAAATTATAGTACATAAATGTCAAAGAGAAATGTGATTTTGTGCATTCGCTCTCTGAATTTCTTTAGTGACACAATGGCTACCCCTTTGTTTTGTACCAAAACGGCAGAATTTATTCAAATACTTTCCTTGTTGGCAAAAATATACCAGCACAGGCACGTGTTATTATAAACAATGTGTTAAAAATTTTCACTGTAATGAGAATAGATCCCGAAAAGTTACAAAGTGTTAATTTCTGCCGTTCTTGTTAACTTGCTACGGCGATATGTGGTGTAAGTGTTCGATTAGTGATTTTTGCTTTCATTTTTATCACTAACCCACAAAATGAAAAAACTAAATACACTATCGATAACGCTTATCGACAACAATAATGCGCATCACTATGCCCGTCCGTGGCATCACTAGGCACGTAAGTGGAAGAGAGAGCGAAATACTCGCTTCACCGCTCCGATTTTTTATGACCCAAACTGCACGGACAAAATAATTCTACTATAGGTAACGACCTATTGCGGACGTATCTTAGCGCGTCGATGTAAAAAAATTTGAATAAGTCAATAACATTTATAAATAACAATTTTAAAATACTTTACTGTGAATTTATCATTGATTTTTGTATTTTTTTTTACTGAAAGATTTTTTATGGTACTTTTTTCAAAAATCTTTTATAAATTTTTGCAATATGTGAAAATAAGCTCAGCACTAAAAGGGTTAATAACAGTCATGCCTCATAGTTGCGAGGCTATTAAATTTGTTAGAAACAATAGATATTAGAAATTTGTAGCTGATATAGTTGGTACCTACGTAAAATGAAGAATCAGCGAACACACTCATATTTAAGGCCGTCAGCGTAAAAGTGGCCTAAACAACAATTTTTCATAATCATGCTTATATTATGTATATTGCAATTTATTTAAAATATAATAAATTTTGATGCAAAACCGGCCTATCCATAGTTTCACCCATTGATAAGAGATGACTTCATAAAAATTATTTTTGCGCGTATTGTTTTTTTGCCTACTCAAATTCAAATACATGAAAACTTAAATCTCATTGCACCATACTAACTATGGTAAGCTTAGACCGCTTTGCGCTGACGGCCTCATTTATGATAGCACAGCAGATGATAAATCGGACCTTGATGGGTTTCTGTCCTTAATCACGATAAACGTATCCTGACGATAAGTGGTCACCGTCGTTCATGGAAGTTAGTAATGTCAGGGGCACAGCTGCTGCTCACTCTTGAGTTCTCTCCATAAGCCTCCTTGAAGAAGTCGTAGCGTAGTACTCCGGAAACACCGTAGAGGGGAACTCATTCCAATGCCGAAGGATGCGTAACAGAAAAGATCCCTGTGAGCTTAGTGCGAGTTTATTAACGTTCTCTATAGCGTAAAAGTTAATTCAAATTTGTATGGAGTTGGAACGTTTGCCTACGTTTGCCGCTAGGGGCGCTGTTCCAACTCCATACAAAATTGAGTTCACTTTTACGCTATCGAAAACGTTAAAAAAACTAGCACTAAACACACTCGAAACGCACTGTCTACGAAATTCTATTCAAATGCCTTTTGTCGTTTTGCGTATAATAGCAGGATAGGTTAATCTTGAATATTTTGCACAGGTAGTGTATGAATAATGGTTTTAATGAAATTAAGTTCATTTTTAGATTATTATTTTATAGATGTTTGATTGTTCAATTACAACATTTCAGCAAAACAAGCTTATATAACATAAGTACATACTTCTAATGGCAATCACTTTATGTGAAACAGATTTTTCACCAACCGACAGATATTTGAAAAACACGGATTGTAGGTTTTACAAATTAATATGTATTTAACAACATTGAATTTATTTAATACGTTAATTTTTTAAATTCAAGGGTTTAAATTAATCTTCCGAAATGATCATAGTCTCCGCACGGAGATTTCGGATGTGTAAGACAGAGAGATTACCCAAAAAGAGTAAAATACTTCTTCGTATTTGAAAACATTTTTTCCCAACGCAACACCGTGCGCGTCTGGGAGCACTTAGCTGCCTCCGCTGGCAACACTGTTGGCCGAGGAAGTCGCCGGGTTCGTCCAGATGTTTGTTTCAGAGCTGGAGTACGTCGTTCTTGCTGGTATAATCGGAGAACGAACGCACACACTGAAAATAAAGTAAATATTTATTTTTTTAGGTACATATTTCAAAAATGAAAGACGGACATAACGGAGAGTTAAGAGCTGCCAGGCGCCTTTACCCCGTACATTTTGCGGTAAATATTTTTTAATTACCTACGTAAATATTAGCATGCACAGGCAAACGGTTTCATGGTTGAAGTGACTGGACTTATTGACGTTTTTTTTTTTAGAATTGAAGGATTACCAGTGGCCCGGAGGCCTTTCCAGTTTCACCAGGACAGGTGGGCGAGAAAAGCCTCAGCCAGAAGGGGCGGGATTTGCTAACAGCTGCCCGAGCGCCTCCGAAGGAGACCAAACAGCTCAAGAGCTGCTGCTACGCGAATGAATCTACTACCGGATAGGAATCGCGACCCGCTGAGAAGATCCGGCGAGAAACTCAGCGAGCTGATTCATGGGTTAGACTGCACGTCGAACTCTTTGTCGAGTTCGACGAGTACGGCTACCGGGGTCCCTAAGCCTGCTCCTAGTGAAGGCGTCTAATGCAAAGGTTATTAGATCTGATGGATCCGTAAGGACGTGTCTAGGGCGTCGACGGTGACTGGCTCCTGTGTGATCAGGATTCGGGGCGTAGTCAGCGGCGGCAACGATAAGGCGATTATCATGACACCATAGCCTTATCGAAGTATCGTTTTGACGCTGAGTTCATGTATTTCTGGATTGATTCGAGGCCCAGATCGTCGTGTAGGTTAACGTTCCTCACGAACCACGGAGCTCTGACAGCTAACCTGCAAAAGCGGGATTGTAGAGATTGGAGGGTGTCTATGTGTGTGCGGGCCGCGTGAGCGAACTCCACACTCGCGTAAGTCATGATGGGACTTATTGACGTATTAAGTGTCAAAACGTGAACACAGATCACTTTATGACACGAGGTAGCCTTTGCGTTTAAAAACAGCAACTTAAAACCTAACTCACTTGCGCTCTTCGAAAAAAAAAAGCATGTCTTAGATAATTCGATCAAAAACACACGTGAGTTTTAGTGCTTTTTGTTAATTAAATATTTAAAGCTAGTTTAACATAATAGCCGTAAATTTGTTTGTTAATTTTCATGCTGCCATTTATATTTCATATTATCCACAATCTATTTATTAGCGGTCGTTTGTGTCGTGATACGTCACATGCATTTTAAAGTTAATAACTGACCTCTCCCTTTCACCCGGATATCAGCTTGTTCCGAATATAGTCCTAAGGAAACCGTAGATATTATTAAATTCATTTCTAAATCATTGTATTGTTTAATTGCTTATTCAAGGGCTTGCCTTAGCGGTTCACTTGGTGTTGAGCGAATAGATATAACGTGAATGTCGCCATGCACCTTGAGACGTGAGTTTCCAAGCCTCAACTGTATTGTATAAGAGCTGTTGAATCTTTCAAGCCGAAACGCAGGATTGGTCACAGTAAGTCCTGCTGCTGTAGCTATAGGTAGGGACGGTGCTGGCCTGCCAGTATTATGGGTCAGTCTGCTTAGTGCGAGTTTTTTTTAACGTTCTCGATAACGTAAAAGTTAACTCAAATTTGTATGGAGTTGTAACAGCGCCCCTAGCGGCAAACGTAGGCAAAAGTTCCAGTAGTTAACTTTTACGCAATCGAGAACGTTAAAAAACTCCCACTAAGCACACTGAACTGTTCTATAACCTATTTTTTTAATGGCCATAGTCCTCGTTGAAGGCGGTTCCCCAGACAATTATGCAAGGAATACAATAACTTTATGATATGCGTGTGGTCTTTTCCTATCTCATAGTATTTTTATTCGAAATATAATCCACAAAGTATTAATAGGAAAAGTCTGAAATCTTAATTTAGCGGTTGAAGTTTCGATTTCAATACGAACCAACGTACAATGACAGTAAAATGGTTGGAGGTATCAACGAAGTTAGATCTTTAATGGAGCGAGTGAAATTGCATTTTAGATCGATGTTGCTCCGAACTAGTGTAAACAGTTCTTAAAATGTCATCAGTGCGATTCAGGCATCTCTCAAATATGTTCTGATCTACTATGATTACCGCTACAGCTGATTGAGTAAATTTATGTAGATATGAGTCGACTATTATCAAAGCCGGCAATCTGACTTTTGGACAATTATTGGTAAATCAGAAAAACGAATTATTGACTTTGTATTCCATTGGCAGTCACAAAACTCTTCGGAACGACATCTTAGATAAATAACAGGTTACCTAACTATTAATCTTAATTTAATGCAGGTTTTGAACCGTATTCTTTGAAGGAGACGATTATATTCAAATCAATCTGTATTGACATATCAATAACATTTTTTTGTCCAAATGCACAGATTGCCACCTTTGATAATAGACGACTCATATGTACCTAAGGAATTCGAAGCGCGCTGTTAATTTATATAAAAATCATAAACCAATCCAAAATTGAAATCACCAAGAATATTTTTACGTACTTGTCCGTTAACAAAACAAAGGATGGACATAATAATTCGTGACGCCATCACGTCACCCCACTGTCGTGCAGCCAAGTGCAAGGGAGATAGCAAGATGTCCCCACTCTTTCATATTTAAATCATACGTCGCTATGTGTTCTTTGTTAATTCTTATTGCGAACAAGAACTTGTGCTTACACAGTAGCTAATTAGGTGATCAGCTTATCATAGAATGCATACTAAAACAAAACGAATACCCACATGTGACGTCAGCCGATATGATTGATGTTAGAGTTATTCGGTTACAATCAATCGATTTCATATTGAATTCATTATTTTTTCTCAAAACAACCCTATTTTGATATCGGTGTACGCTTGTCTAATGTATGTCGGGAGTTAGAATGGATTCTTCATGGATGAAGCACTGAGCTGTGTGCTTAGTGCGAGTTTTTTAACGTTCTCGATAGCGTAAAAGTTAGCTCATATTTGTATGGAATGGGATCGTTTGCGTACGTTTGCCGCTAGGGGCGCTGTTCCAACTGCATACAAAATTGGGTTAACTTTTACGCTATCGACAACGTTAAGAAACTCGCACTAAGCACACTGAACTGGACACTCATTACGAATGCGATGAAAGTCCTCGTCATCGGCACTCACGTGTTGACGTCCTCCAGTTTCTTCAGCAGCCTCTCGTTCTCCCTGCTCAGGATCTCCTGGTCCCTGAGCAGCTGGTCTCTGACGCCGAACAGCTCGGAATTTTCCGTCCTCAACGCGGTGTTCTCCTCCATATGAAGCTGCACCAGATCTACCAGCTCGGCTTGAGGCAGCTTGTACAGTTTATTCGGCTCTATATCGCTTGGTGTTCTATTTCTGTGACCTGGAAATCGGTTAGATGGGTAGACGAGCTCGCAGCCCGCCTGGTATTGCAATGGTAACCGGAATCCAAGGAAATCACTATGTGAATGTCGCCACGTACCTTGAGACATTAGGTCTAAGTATCAGATAGTACAAAGGCTTACCATCAAGCGGGTCGTCTGTTTTAAAGGCAGTAGACGAACTACTGAAATTGGAAGGTTTCATTTTGAGGACGACCTTCGCGAGGTCAGGTCTATGTGGATCACAGCAGAATAAAGAGATTCAAAATCCCTTTCCAGTTTCAACAGGACAGATCGGGAGTATGGGCATAGCAGCATGGGATCATCCGGGAAGAGTGGTATTTGCTAATAGTTGCTCGAGCGCCTCCAAAGGTCACCTATAAGCTGCTTTCTGAATGCATCTACTTGTGTTAGCGGGTCGGTGGGTCCATAAGAACGTGATGGTAATACGTATAGCTCACTGTAAGAATAGCTGTCGGTCTGTACGTGTAGCGCTGTCTTCAGATGCGCGTTCTCGGCTTGCAGCGCCTCCACTTCTCGTTTCAAACTCAATATTAATGCGTCACGAGCATCCTGCAGATTATGGGATAGGTTTGTTTATTTTGTTACCGTTGTAAGAAGACAAGCATACGGCCTGCTTAATGGTGAATGGGCATAATCACTCGTGGACAGCACTAGGGGCACAGACAAGCCTGCTGTTCAAATGGGTGTATCTATACTAATATATAAATCTACAGTGGTTTTTACGGATGTTCCGTTATAACTACTGAACCATGCATCCGATTGACTTGAAACTTGGTATCCATGTAGAAAATACATGTACTTATTGGATAGGCTAATATTTATATGAGTGCTGGACTCCCTACACCAGTTGCGGGGGCGTTAATGGTGAGAATCTTTGTAGGGGTGAGAAATAATAATGTTAATTTTAAATGACCAGCGAAGCGGACGGATACAGCTCTGTTATATAATTAAAGCTTCATGAGGCCACGGCGCTCAGCATTGAGGATTATCCACATAAGGAGAAAGTTATATGATTAAATTAACTTCGTAATCATCAGTTAAGACCATCATCATTATACTGGTGGTGGATAGTATTGAGGAACCGCACAGGTAGGCACTATGATCCTTCATATTTCTACCAGTGCCAGTTATGCGTTTCGGTTTGAAGGCAGCGATACAGACGTATCGAGATCTTTGTAATCGAGAAGTTGAAAAACTCGCGCTAAGCACAAAGCACTAGTCGCTGTATATTATTTTTATTTGTTTATTGCTTAGATGTGTGGACGAGATCACAGCCCACCTGGTCTTAAGTGGTCACTGGAGCCCACAGACATCTACAACGTAAATGCGCCACCCACCTTGAGAAATAAGTTCTAAGGTCTCAAGTAAAGTTATAACGGTTGCCCCACCCTTCAAACCGAAACGCATTGCTGCTTCACGGCAGAAATAGGCAGGGCGGTGGTACCTACCCGCGCGGACTCACAAAAGGTCCTACCTAAAGGTAAAAGTCGTTATCCCTACTTACTTACCATTTTGACGATGGGCTTAGATTTGATCTTCTTGGCTCGTGCGGCGTAACGCAGCGTGTTAATCGTCTCGTTCAAGTTCGACCGCGTCGGTGCAATGCACGCTATCTGTCATATGGCATTTCGAAACATTCATTAGACTATAACCGTTACAACCACATAGACGTCCCTAAAGAACACACCGGAGAGACGTATCACCATAACATATAATACCGGAGACATATATAGAAGTGGCTTAATCCAAAATTCTTGTTTTTTTTTTGTAAACGCCAAAAATGTAATTTAAGAATTGTAGTTTTTAATACATTAAGCCTTAATGCGCACACCTTAAAGATTAAGGTAAGGCAATGATTTAAAAAAGACGGAAAGTGTATTTGGTTCTTTTCTAACTAAAATCTAAATTTCATGTTTGATATTAAAAATAATATTTTAATAACTGATAGAATACATGTTTTTATAAGTCGTTCAAAGTATAAAATACATTTTCTTTAAATGCATAATTAACCCACTTCAATTCTAAAGGTCCGATATGTACAGTACCCGGCGATAAATGACGCACGTCGAACTTTAGTAAGAGACAATCGGCTGTCGGCTTCGTAGAGCGTTATCTCTGTCGCACGCTACCGATGTGACGTTTGTCAGTCGTTGACAACGACTCGTTGTTTTAGTGCGGTTGCGTGTGATTGTCATGCATAGGCCTTTAGGTTTTATACTTCAGTGGTGGTGGGACTTTTCTTTTAATTATCATGTCAAGAAATGTCAATGTCATGTTTTTCAAATTTGAAACATATTATACTTGTTAGAAATAGGATGACTGTGGCCTGGGCATTGAAAATATCCGTGAGAGATGATAACTTATTATTAATTTTATTTTATTGCCATTTCTAGGTAGACAGGCATATAGCCCAACTCATAGTGAGCGGCTACTTTTTTTTTTTTTATGGTTGAAGGATTACTGGTGGCCCGGAGGCCTTTCCAGTTTCACCAGGACAGGTGGGCGAGCATAGGCTCAGCCAGGAGGGGTGGGATTTGCTAACAGCTACCCGAGCGCCTCCGAAGGAGACCTAACAGCTCAAGAGTAGCTGCTTCGCGAATGAATCTACTACGGTATCGGAATCGCGACCCGCTGAGAAGATCCGGCGAGAAACTCAGCGAGCTGATTCATGGGTTAGGTTGCACGGCGAACTCTTTATCGAGTTCGACGAGTACGGTTACCGGGGTCCCTAAGCCTGCTCCTAGTGTTAGAGCTGAAGGCGTCTAATGCAAAGGTTATTGGATCTGATGGATCCGTAAGGACGTGTGAGCGGCTACTGTCGCTCATGGCCGTCAGCAATGTCAAGAGTTAAGCCACTGCCCACTGCAAACCAACTTATAAGTGATACTAACATTTGACATTTTTATAACAAATGTACAAAATTTTATTTGAAATAATAATAAACAAATCATTTTGCTCACCATTAACGTAACCCCATTGCCGGCTAAGCTGTCAGCCAACAGCTTGGTCAGCTTACTATCCCTGTATGGTATATGACCTCTTTTTTTACCATCACTCAGTTGCGCTATGCAATAACCTAAAACAAACTTTTTTATTTAGTTGAGGAGCTAAGCTCGATTTCTCGTTAATGTACCAGAGGATTGAGTGTTGAGTTGACGGCTGATTGAAGAGAATGAAATAGAAAAAATCACTGTGCCTACCCAACTTAGTGGGATAAGGTGGAGACAAAGAAAAAGAAGAACCACATTTTATACGTTTCGATTTTTACTGGTGGTAGGACCTCTTGAGAGTCTGCGCGGATAGGTACCACCACCCTGCCTATTTCTGCCGTGAAGCAGTAATGCGTTTCGGTTTGAAGGGTGGGGCAGCCGTTGTAACTATACTGAGACCCTTAGAACTTATATCTCAAGGTGGGTGGCGCATTTACGTTGTAGATGTCTATGGGCTCCAGTAACCACTTAACACTAGGTGGGCTGTGAGCTCGTCCATCCATCTAAGCAATAAAAAAAAGTTACTGTAACCGAATTTAATTGATTCAGTATTTAAAGCCCTTAACTGCTGGACATAGGGCCGTCGTGAGTTCATTTTACAAAACATTGTCGCAACGAACAGGTTTGTTTTCTTTGTCTGGGTGTTTAATATTTAAAAATGTACGTAATTAATATAATATGTTACGTAATTAATCGTAGCTAAATGGGTATGTATTTTTCATGAAGAGCCTGATATCCATGTGAGACTTTTTCTCGATTAGCAAAGTCTCTCAAGCTGAGCTCCGTCAGCTCGCTTATATGTTCGGTGAAGCTAACACAACCCCTTGAGCTTACACAAAAATAGTTCTACATAAAAAGTACAACAAGCACGATCATCGTCTACTGACTTAGGTACAACAAAGGTAGCGTTCCTTTTTTTCACTACCTATGCTGGTAACCTAGGGAGTTATGTGTAACCGGACGAGTAGGAGAGCTCACGGGGCTCTAATCTGATGATGTTGCCAACACTAGCCCTAGCAAGAGCNCACAACCCCTTGAGCTTACACAAAAATAGTTCTACATAAAAAGTACAACAAGCACGATCATCGTCTACTGACTTAGGTACAACAAAGGTAGCGTTCCTTTTTTTCACTACCTATGCTGGTAACCTAGGGAGTTATGTGTAACCGGACGAGTAGGAGAGCTCACGGGGCTCTAATCTGATGATGTTGCCAACACTAGCCCTAGCAAGAGCAGTGCTTCGCAGAATCTACCATCGGATCGGAAACGCGACCCACTGAGAAGATCCGGCAAGAAACTCAGTGGAACAATGTATGTTAAAGCCACTCACCTAACACCATGAGACTCCTATTAATATTATTGGCCTCTTCCAAAGTCTTTCCGGTACTGTGAGTGCGTTTCGTCATTTCGCTGCCGGCCAGATCGACGAAGTTGATCTTGCCGTGTGTGGAGCAGGTGACGTCACCGTCTGTCCTGAGATCCCTTCGAACGCGCACGCACAACAACGTGTGCGACCGCGATGAGTTAGCGTTCATTGCGTGCGAGCCGACGGCGCGGTTCCTCATACCTATTGACACGTGTTCGATTCGGTGAATTTGGTACTGTAAGCTCCCTTATTAAAGCGTGCGTAGTTGGAATAGCCCCTTAGGTTAGCAGTGATTAGGAAAAAAACACGTGTGGCACTCGGGGAGTGCCGCGGTAAAGCATTTTTTATCAACTTATGCAATTATAATTAGACAATAATAATTGAATATTAAAACAATAATAATATACGGCCACATAGCACGAAGAGAGGATGGTCGATGGGGCAGAAAGATCCTGGAGTGGCGACCACGTACTGGCAAGCGCAGTGTGGGACGGCCACCTACTAGATGGACCGACGACCTAGTAAAAAGCGCTGGGTCTCGTTGGATGCAGGTGGCAATGAACCGGTCGCACTGGAAATCTATTGGAGAGGCCTATGTTCAGCAGTGGACGGCGATAGGCTGAAATGATGATGATGATGATGAAAACAATAATAAAATAAGACCACGCTATATTTATAAACATTAACAAAAGCAAAACATAAACTGTCCCCTTTACACTCATACGTTAGACCGCGCGAGAGATAGATGGGAAGACTTTTTATGATGCGCATGCAGTGCGACGTGACGCCGCGCGCTTATTCATAAACACTACACAAGCGCAACGTTTGAATGTGTTGAACGCGAGCTACATAGTAGGCGGAGTGGGGGTGTTAGGTTTTATTTTCGTTACGGAATTTCTTGATTCGGTCGCCGCGCTCAAGCCTGCGATAAAAGCTATGCAATAGCATAAAAACTACTTTATCCTATCTTCGGCTACTCGGATATTATTATATGGGTGTGCAATAAAACATACTCTATCTACCTATTGAAATGGAACTGATTTAGTATTACCTTCTTCTAAAACAGCGAACAAGTCGTCAAGCTCCTCGCAATCAACAGTGAACTGGTTTTCCACGTAGAAGCTCCTGCTTTCCTTCGACCATCGCACTTGTAATGGTTTCCTAGCAGTGCCTGGGTTTAGCAGGTCGATGACCTGGAAGTTTACCAAAGTTTACGGCTTAGCGCTACTGCTAAGAGCCCTAGTCACAATGAGACGTAAGTGCATAATTGAAAATGTTTTAACTGTCCATTAGTGATTTTGGTGTTCCGAAATGTTCCAGTCTGGTAAAATCAGAATTATAATGTGGTTTGAAATTGTTTTCAAATGATTCGCTTGTAGCGAATAGCTATCAAAAGACGCAAGGCTTTTACCAGATGCCTGAATTTCCCTAACGATATTTTGAAGATAAATTCCGAAAAATAACAAATCGGATCGTCGTTCCACCGTGCAAATTCAAACGTCCCGTAGAAGATATTCCCTTGGTTGTTACGCGCAAACGTTCTTAAATTATAAACATATTAGTTTTTGCCCGCGACTTCGTCCGCGTGGAATAGTTATTTTGGCATAACGCTAAATTTTACCCGCCTCTTCATTTACGTAGAATATCATCTTTATAAAAAACACCTTCACAAATAATGCTTATTTTAGAACAAATTTGGTTAGCATAAAAAACGTTATAGAGAGCCAACCTAAACATATAGATATATGCTGACGCGCACTCTTTTTTAGATCTTTTAAAGGAGAACAATTCTCTCGTACATTATTTTCGCCAAACATTAACCGTTTCCGCAGCGCACGCAGCGGAAGCTCTCAAAAGGGAAAAAACCCCAATTTTGAAACATTCTTTATTGGTTGCTCCCCTTGCATTGGTCTTAGCGTGATGTTAAAGCCTATAGCCTTCCTCGATAAATGCGTTATCTAACGCTGAAAGAATTTTTCAAATCGGACCAGTAGTTCCTGAGATTAGCGCGTTCAAACAAACAAACTCTTCAGCTTTATAATATTAGTATATAGATAATTTCCTCGTTTCATTTACCTTTTCATTATAGATTTCCAGGAAAGATGCTTTTAATACGAAGTGGCACTCCGGTCGGTTACGTAGCAATCGGAACAGATAGACGAACGAGCGGACGACTAAGCCGTGACCTTCGCAGTACGGCCCGGCTCCCTTCTCCATCTGTAGGGCATATGATCTGGTGGTAGGACCTCTTGTGAGTCCGCGCGGGTGGGTACCATCACCCTGCCTATTTCTGCCGTGAAGCAGTGATGCGTTTCGGTTTGAAAGGTAGGGCAGCCGTTGTAACTATGCTTGAGACCTTAGAACTTATATCTCAAGATGGGTGGCGCATTTACGTTGTAGATGTCTGGGCTCCAGTAACCACTTAAAACCAGGTGGGCTGTGAGTTCGTCCACCCATGTAAGCAATAAAAAAAAACATGAGCATACAGAGAACTATAGTAATCTAAATATCGCGCATTAAGTTTCTTAACTCTACAAACGCTGGTCCCAAGCCCGGATGAGAAAAAAAGGAGGGTTGATTTGGAGTTAGACCTTTTCGTAAAACAGTCAACGCCGAATGTCTGGCGGCGGCTAATTAGCCGGACCCAAAAGGCTTCAGCGGCTACGAAGAAGCACTGCCGTGGAAGGACGCGTGAACACACCGTGTGTATTTTCCCAAGAAAGCCTCATGAAGCCACGACCCTCAGCATTGAGGATTATCGACGCAAGGAGGAGGAGAAAGTTTCGTAAAGTGTCGGTCTTTCATTCGGCCATATAGGAAGATTTAGTTTCGGCTGGTCTAGTGTAGTAATTCTCAGAATCTGGAAACCGCACAACCTGAGACGTATACAATAGCTGGGTCGAATATCGGTATTTATAGAAAAACGATCTTTTTATTCCCCTTGAACGCAGACGAGCACACAGCCCACCTGATGTGGATTAATTGTCACCGTAGCGGCGTCGTAGCTCATGATCGGAATCGCGATTCATTAAAATGAAACTTCAAGGGGCGAAGGGGAACATTCTCTTAAATATATAACCAGTGGCGTATTTTAAGATTCAGCGCCCTAGACCTATAAGATTTACCATCCTGTAAGTTAATAAAAATAAATACAAAATAAAATTCTGCAGTGTTTTGTTGTAGGCTGGGAATTACGGTAACGAATCAAAATTCAAATTCTGGCCCATTTGGCTTTAGGGTAAATATGCCCACGAGTTTATCACCCAAGAATAAATACTCAAAAAATGATTGATGTTCGCATGATAAGGCATGAGACCTTTTTGTGGTGGGCCTCTAAAATAACAAAGTAGCCATCAGTTGTCGGTTTCTTGATTTAAGCCATTCGTATGTAATCAATCAAAGAGATAAACTGTGTTCGAAGTATATTTGGACAGTCGAAAAATCATTTGTCGAACTTAATAACAGATATTGAGCGTCTAGAAAATACTTAGAATGAATATACACCACTGTTCGTCACACCCTCAAGTTAAAATAATGATACTATAGTACCTTAATTATTTTTGTTGTTGCCTTAAAAGGCAGGCGAGCATAGCGCGGGAGCTAAGGGAGCTAAGTAAAGGTCGTATCTGAATTTAAGTAAGGCCAGATTTACAATTTGCACGTTTTTCATATAAGTATTAGAACCGACTACAATTTAACAAGGTTAAATGGCATTATAATATCCAATCCTTTTGCTTGTAAAATAGAGAAATATTGATTTTTTTTTAAAACTTTCGAACACAAGTTTGACAGTAGACAGAAACAACATGGCCGCCCCCTCCATTTAGGAATGTAGAATTGTGAAATTTGAACGCACAAGCTGTAATTACAGTTCTAAATATTAATGATGACATACAATGAAATGCAGATTATTACAATCGGGGTATCAATTTAATCGATTTTTGCTGTTGATGTTGCACTCGTATTTACTGTAAATTAAAGTACATCGACCTCTAGAAAGAGACATTCGGCTAATTTCGGCTTTGTAGAGCATTGTCCCTTTCGCACGAAATACTAACAGTCCGGTATCTATTAAGAGCTGTTAAAACAATTATAGTAAGTTGCTTATTTTGATTATTCTTTTTTTTTTATAAAATATTATTTTTTTCTACATGTTTTGTCCTTAGATTTGATTTATTTATTTTGAAAAGTGATACATTCTGACAAAACAATTATAAATCCTTAATGAAGTCAATATCATTATGTAGGTCCGATGTGCCTTAAGTACGATAATCTAGACACAGTTTTCCAACTGCATACAAATATGAGTTAACTTTTACGCTATCGAGAACGTTAAAAAACTCGCACTAAGCACACTGAACGTGAACGCGTGCATCAAAATGTATAATGCTTCGACCGCCCCACCCTTCAAACTGGAACTCATAATTGCTTCACGGCCAAAATCAGCTGAATAGCTCGCTCGTAATACTTCTAACGTCGCAGATGATCGTTAACTCAACATTTCTATAGTTCAATCGGTACCTGCCTGCGAGATTTAAGGGCTAATAAATGACCGAATATCAGACAATGATACCTAATTACACGTACCGATGCGTTAATAATTTACTGCGTAATTAATTACTCATAGAATTTTCTATAACTTTAATTTGTTTGGAATCGTAGAGAAACTTACAAGGCCCGGACGTCCAGTGAGGGTGTGAGTCTTTCCGCTTCCCGTCTGGCCGTAACAGAAGGCCGTGCACGAAAACCCTTCGACCGCCATCTCCAATAGTCTTTTCACTCCGGAATATTCTAGAACGTCTTCCTAGAAGAACCCCAACAAATATTACAAGGGTAAAGCGGTTAACACTTCCCACCCCAGAAATAAACATGATCGTAACCACCACTAAATGCCGCTTGGTGATAGCAGTAGATATGCCGGTTTAATACTGAGAGGACGCTACTACTGATTCTCCGGTGGATCTATTCGCCTCATGACACCCAGAGAGGTGGTAGTATTCCAGGATGAGTTACACTTGCAGGTTGCGGACATGTTCGAAACAATTTTTACGGTCTAATCACAGTTCATCATTCCGTATAGTACTCTGAGCCCCCTGGATATATATTGACGTTTTGACGGCCTGTAGAGGTTGGTTGACCACGAAAACTGTAAGGTAAACGTCGTGAGTAAAGTAGTTTTGGAGTAGGAGTAAATACAATTTTGAGTTTGGTCACGTGTTGTCATTTTCCAAACCAGGGATATAGCCGCATCGAAGCTTTGCCCACTGAGTTTCTTGCTAGATCTTCTCAGTGGGTCGCGTTTCGGCTCCGGTGGTAAATTCTACGAAGCACTGCTCTTGCTAGGGCCAGTGTTAGCTACACTACGGTTTGAGCCCCGTGAACTCATCTACACGTTAGGGCGAAGCTGAAATAGCCTCTTAAGGCTATCAGCATAGGTAGGGGAAAAAATATCGAAGCTTTCTATTAAGCAAGTCTTCTTTGAAGAAAACTCAGTAATAAGTCTATGATATTATAGGTAAGGCTTCTGTTAGTTATTTACACTGTGCCATAACGTTGACCCAACTAAGGAAATATGACTGTAGTTATGATACTTACTTGGGTAGCAGCCGGCTCAAACACAACGTTGTACGAGAAAACCTTAGGCTGTTTGTTCGGTGTGGTGCCGTTGCATATGATCTGCCCCTTGCCGGGAAACTCCAGCATCACGGGCTCGCCGCGAGACCGCTCTGCCTCATTGACCGGACGCACTCTGTTCAAGTAATACCAGAGCATAAGCACTTGAAGTCATCGTGGCCCAGAGGATAAGACGCCCGGTGCATTCGTATGTGAAAATGCCGGTGTTAGAATCCCGCAGGCAGGTACCAGTTTTTCTAATGAAATACATTCCAATCGAGATCCTTCTGATTGTTTGAGGCTGGTTAAAACTTATAATAAACTCAATTGATAGTAGTGCAACGTCTTGTGAGTCCGCTCGAGTTACCAACACCCTACCTATTTCTGCCGCGAAACAATAATGTGTTCTAGTTCTAAATGTGGTGCTGCCATTGAACTCAATATAAGCGACTTCGGCCCTATTCGGTAACTGACTCAGTTAGTGGCATTTACTTTGGAAAGTCCATGAATTCTAGTCACAACTTAACACGGGTGTTTTTTTTTTCCTTCGATATTAAATACTAAAAAAGTATTTGGTTCACCAGTATGCTTAGTGCGAGTTTTTTAACGTTCTCGATAGCGTAAAAGTTAGCCTAATATTGTATGCAGTTGGAACAGCGCCCCTAGCGGCAAACGTATGCAAACGATCCCATCCATACAAATATGAGCTAACTTTTACGCTATCGAGAACGTTAAAAAACTCGCACTAAGCACACTGATCTTAATCATCATTTTTCATAGAGCAACGGAATATAGCCAAGCAAGTTCCTACCGCTCAACCGACCGATATTGCTCAACTATCTATCAATTAACTAATAAATAGTACTAGAGGTCCCGCAGTAGTCGAAATTCGACTATAATTAATTGGAATTGTAAGTTTGTACACTATTATGATTGTATTTTATACTTCTATAGGTAATCACAAATTTCACCAAGGCTACACTATAAAAAATATTAACAAAGGCAAATAATATTTAATCTATTCTCAATTTGACAACAGACGCCAAGAACAAAAGTTTGACAATGAGTAGTATGCATGCGTGTGTGCGTCAAATACATGGTATGTAGTGTGTGTAATGTTTTCTTTATTGATTTAATGTATCTTTTATGCATTATTTAAAAAAAATATTAGCATTGTGCACTTCTTCTCTATATTCTCTATAAGTGTGGAAAACTTCATACTCCTCCGTCCGCGCAATTTTCATAAAAAGGAATACAAAGTTTTTGCTTCACGTATTAATATATAGATTTGGTTTTTCAATTCAAACAAAAATTCCCGCTTCGAACTTCCGACCCAGTTTCAACCTGTCCGCTCCGAGTTATTTAGGCTTTGAACAAAACCGCCGACGTATAAGTACGTATGAAAGTTTCATTTCGCATTGTTACATAAAATGGAAATCGATTTGTTCCTTGTCAATAATCTGTGTCAACAAGCTTTTATTACAAACGTACAAGTTCAAAAGCTTAACTTAATGAAATATGTACCGGTTTGAGATACATAAAGGAGTTTCTTGTGGTAATAAAACTTCAGCACTTGATATTATTCTTATACAAGATGATGGCCGAGCTTTGCTCGGTTTTTTTTTTGATAACGCCATCTTTTTGTGTCTTTAAAGCGGTTAGTTGCCCTCAATTAAGAAAAATAGTATTATTATTCGCCAATAGATGTCGGGACGACTTGATTATTGAAAACACGAATAAAACAACATTATCTGAAAATAAATCGTAGCTAGATCGATTTAAATCCGAAATCCCTTGTATACTAAATTTTATGAAAATCGTTGCAGCCGTGTCCGAGATTCCGATATATATACAAGAATTGCTCGTTTAAAGGTATAAGATAAGATTATTTAAATTGAGAGATGTACAGCGGCTTGAAGAGCGGGCTATGAATGATTGAATGATAGCGAAATACAATATAGTGTGATGCTTAGCGCCTTAGAAGGCTAGCATCTTTGACATAGCTATAAAAGAATTGAAGGCACTGGTCTGAACAAAATACGATGCTTCTGTCTGATGTTCTGTACAAAATCATATCACACGTTGTTGCGAAAATTAAAAAATCGCACGTCCCTTAAATAAACAACTGTAAGCATTTCACGAGACATTACAAGTTATAGGAGGTAATTAAATTCAAACGATAAGTTTAATCTATCGATAAGCCCATGGACATCTACAACGTAAATGCGCCACCCACCTTGATATATAAGTTCTAAGGTCTCAGTATAATTACAATGGCTGCCCGATCCTTCAAACTGAAACGCATTACTGCTTCACGGCAGAAATAGGCAGGGTGGTGGTACCTACCCGTGCGGACTCACAAGAGGTCCTGCCACCAGTAATTACGCAAATTATAATTCTGCGGGTTTGATTTTTATTACACGATGTTATTCCTTTTCCGCGGAAGTCAATCGTGAACATTTGTTAAGTACTTATTTCACGTCTTTAGCAAGAGCAGTCGTTCGCAGAATCTACCACCGGATTGGAAACGCGACCCACTGAGTAGAGCCGGCGGGAAACTTATTGAACTGTGTATGAGTGTCAAACGTTACTCTTAGGAACTTGTATATATGCAAGCTTTGTTTATTTATAGCTTAGATGGGTGGACGAGCTCACAGCCCACCTGGTGTTAAGTGGTTACTGGAGCCCATAGACATCTACAACGTAAATGCGCCACCAGCCTTGAGATATAAGTTCTAAGCTCTTAGTATAGTTACAACGGCTGCCCCAACCTTCAAACCGAAACGCATTACTGCTTCACGGCAGAAATAGGCAGGGTGGTGGTACCTACTCGTGCGGACTCAAGAGGTCCTACCGCCAGTAATATGCTTATCTTGAAAAGGTCGTTGGCGCGATTCAGGCATCTATAAACTGTCTTGTGTTCTATGACAGCTACCGTCAAATTTAATTTATTATTTTGAATCAGCAAATAACAAATCTAGCTGAACACAAACGCAAAATATCAAATGTGTCTAATCGTTGTGTGTTCATCTAAAATCTTGTTAATGCGTTAAACTTGAATTTTAACCTCAAATGACATCACTTACGAAAAGTAATGGTTGTCAATTTTTTTTTAACAACGCAAAGTATATTTATTTGTATGGTTCAAAATCGATAGCCGATGTAGCGATACGTTCTCGAAGCCTAACTATAGTTACTACTAGTACATAATACAAAAACTCACCTGACAACGACATTGATATTATCTTCATCGGAGTTGACAGTTGAACTGGATCCTCTTGTACTTCTATCGAGGCTGGCGGCTCGACTGCTACCACTATAAAAATTGTAAACTTTTATTCTCTACCTAGCTTTTGCCCGCGACTTCGTTCGCGTGGAATAGTTCACTTTTTTTCCCCTACCTAAGCTGATAGCCTTGAGTAGCTATATCAGCGTAACCTTAACTAGTAGGTGAGCTCACTTTTACAAGTTATAACCTTATTTATCTATTCCGTGGTTAGTTCACAAATAATGCTTTATTTTAGAACAAATTTGGTTAGCATAAAAAACGTTATAGTGAGCCAACTTTAACATATAGACATATGCTGACGCGGACTTTTTTTTAGATATTTTAAAAGGGAACAATTCTGTCATACATTATTTTAGCGAAACTTTAACCGTTTCCGCAGCGCACGCGGCGAAAGTTCTCAAAGGGAAAAAAAACCATTTTGAAACATTCTTTATTGGTGCTTCGCTTGTATTAGTCATAGCGTAATTTTATATAGCCTTCCTCAATAAATGGGCTGTCTAACACTGAAAGAATTTTTCAAATCGGACCGGAAGTTCCTGAGATTAGCGCGTTCAAACAAACAAACTCTTCAGCTGTATAATATTTATATTATTATTCTCTAATTTAGATTATTAATTAATCGATTAAGTCTCTTCTCTTTAATTGCCGCGAAAACTTTTCAAATATCGACAGAACTTAATATAATATGGAACTAAAAAACTCGACCTATGCAGCTATGCAGCTCCCTTGGAGCTTTAAGCTTTTTTGAATACATTCAGTCAGCGTCTAGAGAACCCCCTATTTTCTTCTCCCTTAATAAAGCTGGAAAGTCCTCATATACACAAGCGATCCCTCCATCATAAAATACAATCTTTTAAGTTTTTTGCGAGATTGGTCCCCACTAGCCTGTTAATAAGAAAGTCGCAAATATCATCATTTTCCGATTAGTTTTCATGGTCTATGCAAGTTCAAGGGTGCAATCGATAACACCTGTTTGAAGTTTATCGATGTTTTGCGTATCTGATTCATGGTTTTTTATTTATTTTAGTGCCCTGTGTGTGTGAACGAGCTCAACTGGTTACCAGAGCCCATAGATGTGTATATACTGTCCGTGTCGTGCTAACTTTGAGACATGAGGTCTGAGGTCTAAACTTAAAACTGGAACGAGTGCTTCCCGGCAAAAATAAAGCTATTTAGTTATTTGTCTATCTAATCTTTCAAGCTCAATTCAGTAATGCATTACGGTAATTAAGTAAATTCATAAATTACAGGATTAATTTATTATTGTTTTCATATAAGGAGTATCCGTGTGTAGTTGCTATTGTTTCAGAAAATACAATTAAGAAAACAACCGAAAAACATTAATAAATAATGTTGTCGAAGAAAAGAAAACAAAAACATTTGTTACTCTGTGTTCCTTGTCCGAAGTTTTATACAATTTTCGTTAATTATTTAAATAGTTTCCCGCCATTCAACGTAGATTGACAGGTCGCTAAGCGGGTTTCTTAACATGGCCGACAAATGTCAAGGGCTAGGTTTTCACTGGCCAGTAATCAGTAACTACAGAGCTTTGTATTTAGTCATTTCCGTTTCAAGTTTTATTACTTGAGAACTGCGTAATATTTCTTTACCAATTCGCTTTTTTATTCTATTTTAAGGACCTGATGATTGGCATTACATACTATTTTATAAATTAATAGTTTACGTCACTCGTCACTTTTCTGTAATCTTACAATAATCCCTATTATGTTACAATAATCATAATTTTAGTCAATATTTATTCGCATTTGATAAATTATGTTAGTGTTTAGTTTCTGTAGGTAGTCTATTTAGATGCGATGTGACTAGGAGATGCATGGAAATGGTAGTGCAAAGTAGAGGGTGAAGAGGTCGACCGAAGAAGACATGTATGGAGTGTGTGAATGACGCTATGAGAGAGAGAGAGGAGTAAGTGTTGAGCTGACGACTGATAGAAGAGAATGGAAGAGAAAAATGAGCTGCGCCGACCCCACCTAGTGGGATAAGGTGAAGAAAACGAAAAAGACTCTATTTACATGCTTATTAATGATTTGGTAATGTTTAAAGTTCATATAATGTTGTAAAGTGGGATCTACGCCACGTTTAATAAGAATGAAAAATAGACTAAAGGAAAAAAAATATGCAAAATCGAGGTTTAATAAAAATATTCATATTTTTTGTAAATACCATTAATACGCGACCCCTGCCAGTTTCACAAAAGGATCGTTGATAACACAAAAATAAAACCCCATTAATCATTCAAAAAATCATGTAGGTACTTGTGCTTTTTTTCACCACAGAAGAAATTACATTACAAAGAAAAAATAATTCATGAAAATGAAAATTATCGTACCATAATGGCGAGTAAATTGTATTAAGTTTGAATGAAAGTTCAATATTAACGCCCCATCGATTTGGAGCAAGGTTCCCCGTCGAAAACATCTATTAAAGCTTGATCTATTGACTGAAATTGGATAGTAGGAATGATGTTCTTGTTTAAAGAATAGACAAGATTCCCTGTGCCGAATTTAACATGTCTATTGTGAAACTTGACGTCAGTGACAAGAAAAGAATGCCAAAGGGTGCTAATGTTGACAGCTTAAATTTGATCTAGAAAATAAATTAATCTGTATAATCTGTAATTACACTTTTCATTGCATACGTACCGTTTGTGTTTATTTTTTTCATAATATATATATCGACGCTTGAAAGGCAAACGTGACTAAGCGACAATGCGTGAATTTTACAGTAGACTAATTGAAAGTTGAAATACCTGAAAACAAAATTTATTTTAACAAAACTAGCTGTAGTAGAAACTAGCTAGTAGCTGTAGGATTGAAATTATTTTAATAGACCTAAAAATATATATATTTTGAGCATCGAATATGGTTATTGCCTATCATTTATGTACAAAGCAGTTATTGTCGCTTAATCACGTTTGCCTTTCAAGCGTCGATATATACTCAATCTTAAACATGCAATTTTCACTCTAGACTCTATAGCAAATACTAAGAGCTACTAAGAATATTAATATTCATGTATAAACGAATTGAATGAGCAACTGATTGACTCAGTGGTGAAGTGGTTAGTGCCCCTGATTGTTACGCCGAAGGTCGGGGGTTCAATTCCCACATCGAGCAAACATTCGTGTAACGAACAGGTTTGTTTACTCTATGTCGGGTAGCTTATTTTCTATATAATATGTTAATTTTATCTGTTTCGTTTTCCTGTCGATGATACTGGTCGCTGGATGTTTGAGCTAAGTTTTTTTTTTTGTTACTCTTTGGATCTCACAGCCCACCTGGTATTAAGTGGTTACTGGAGCCCATAGACATCTACAACGTAAATGCGCCACACACATTGAGATATAAGTTCTAAATGTCTCAGTATTACAAGGGCTACCCCACCCTTTAAACCAAAACGCATTACTGCTTCACGCAGAAATAGGCGCGGTGATGGTACCTACCCGTGCGGACTCACAAGACGTCCCACCACCAGTAATTACGCAAATTATAATTTTGCAGGTTTTTAATTTTATACGATGTTACACGATGTTATTCCTTCACCATAGAAGTCAATCGTGAACATATGTTAAGTACGTATTTCATTAGAAAAATTGGTACCCGCCTGCGAAATTGGAACACCGTTGCATCGCTAGATACGAATGCACCGGACGTCTTATCCTTTTGGCCACGACGACTACAAAGTCATAAAATTATTGCATTGTCGGCGGTCCTTGATGCGTGTTCAATATAAACGGACCTCTTGAAGTCAGTGAATATGAAGTTCAGAGATTCTGTGATATACCCAGGGCAGGATTAAAACTTATTGCTGCTCCTGGACGCTAATACTCGAATTTTACTTAAACTTATAGCTTACATATTTTATTTTTCATATAATAGAACATTTTTGTTTTAAATTCATCGATAAATTAAAGTTTTGAAAAAAAAAACGAAATTTATTTAATCCCATAAAATAGAAAAATCCATTATTATTTTAAATCTCCAAGGAATGAAATTGATTAAATCATTTTGATTATTAAATTTTACCGAAAGTGCCAAAATTATAATTCACTAATAATGGATGAATTTAATTTTTTTAATTATCAATTAAAAAGAAAATTATTAATCAATAGAATGAATTTATCATATTGAGCAATCTTGACAAGACTAAAAAAAAATTTTTCACTTTCAAAATTTTGTCGCCCTAAAAAAATTGCCGCCATGGGAACTCGTCCTGACTGCCCTTAGTCTAAGCCCACCGCTGGATATACCTCAAGATCCACATACGCTAGACCACGGAATAGATAAATAATAATATAATAATAGAAATAAATAGGATAGATAGATAGGATAATAGAAAATAAATAGGATTATTTATCTATTCCGTGCGCTAGACTATGAAATTTTATACTAAAAGTTTGCTTAGTTGGTGATTATCCGCTTTAAAAGTTTGATATTAAGCCATTTTAACGGCCGTCGGGTGTAGTGGTAAGTGACATGGTCACTACACAAGGGGGTCGCGGGTTCGAATCCCGCCAAGTAAAGATATTTGTATGATAAATATAAAATGTATTTTCCAGGGTTATGGATGTATATTCAATATATGTATGTGTATAATAAAAATCTTACATTTATTTCCGTTATCCGGTACCTGTAACACAAGTTCTTTACGAACTTACCACGGGACCAGTTAACGTGGCGTGATTGTTAGTAAATATTTATTTATTATTATTTATCAGTGAGAGTCATTGGAAACGTAGAAAATAGTACTATGACAACAAAAAGCGTGAGATAAAATCGTAAAAGCACTTTTAATTATACCGATTCGCGAAAACCGAAGAAAATATCAAAGTGTCATTCAAAGGTCAGCGAAAGCCAACTACGCAATAGCATGAATCAACCATGATTCACCACGCCATTATTACAATCGTGTAAAACCGTAGACCGATGTAAATTCATATTAGGTGTTAGTTAATTTTGTTGTATACTAACTAATGACCGAGCTTTGCTCGCTTTTTTTTTTTATAACGCCATCTTGTTGTGTCTTTAAAGCGGTTAGTTGCCCTCAATTAAGAAAAATAGTATTACTATTCGCCAATAGATGTCGGGAAGAGTTGATTATTGAAAACACGAATAAAACAACATTTTCTGAAAATAAATCGTAGCTAGATCGATTTATCGCCCCCGAAATCCCCTGTATACTAAATTTTATGAAAACCGTTGGAGTCGTTTCCGAGATTCAGATTATATATATACAAGAATTGCTCGTTTAAAGGTATAATATATAATGCAAGTCAGTTTTCCGTGAAGTTATTTGTATGTCGAGTGATTAATACAGTTTTATGTGTAGTAGAATTCGCCCAACGATTGAATTTTTATCATATCGCATCAGTGACATTTAAAGATTTTGATTCATTTGCTAATTTAGATAATATTATTTTGTTTTGTAATCGAAATTTAGAAAAAATAAACGTATTTTTTTTTAATTAATGTCACTAAAGTTCAAGCATACGCTTAAAACAATAAAAAATAAATGAATATCGGTTGCTAAAGAGTGGAGGGAACGGTACTTTACTCTTTTATCTTTGCAAAATTTATTTATATATTTATTCATAGATGTTTTGTGTTTTTTTTAATGTGAAATATATTTTTTACAAATTTTAAACCTTAAATGGCTCTCCTGTAACATTGCAAAAATGTTTAAATCAAATAGCATTTCACTCCTCGTTATATTTAAGCTTTACACTTATTTACCACTGGTGGTAGGAAGTCTTATGAGCCCGAACGTGTAGGTACCACCGCCCTGCCTAATTCTGCCGTGAAGCAGTAATTCGTTTCGGTTTGAAGGCTGAGGTAGCTGATATACGGTAAAACTGACACTTGAACTAAGTTGTCAGGTTGAAGTGTGTATACTTATATATTATATAATATAATAGCATAGTATTAGCATAGCATTTAGTATATAACATAATTAATAGGTTTAATCTTGTATGTCCCCCTAATATACCGGCGGACCACCCAGAAACATAGGCTTCTTCATAATTGTAAACTAGGATTAAGATGATTATTAAACATGGAATACACACAAAAAGACGCTTTCCTTTAACAACTCCCAAAGTACAACATTACATGGTTTATTGTCTATGGTCTCCAGTAACCACTCAATACAAGGCGGGTCGTGAGCTCGTCCACCGTCTAAGCAATAAACGGAAATAAACATAATTAACTATTACATTTCTGAGTTGACAATGGACAATATTCATCGTCCGGCTTATTCCTGTCGCGAAAGATTCATGTGGACCTCATCGAATAACAATCATCGTTCCAATACAATTAGAACTTTGAACCTTTAACATTACTTAAGTGAACTCACAGCCCTTCTTAACTAATAGCAGGGTCCAAGTTTAAATTGTATTGCACAAGGGCTGTACCGTCTATTGGATCAGAATTCATAATGATTCGCAGCGAAATTGAAAACGGGAGGGGTATCAACCCTGCAGGCTTACAAGGCAAACAGGTCATCGCAGCTATAAAGCTCGCTGTGAACATCACGGTAAGCTCTTCAGTCAGTATCCAGCTTTCTTCTCCTCCTTGCCTCGTGTTCCTTAGTACTGAGGGTCGTGGTCTTTACGGAGCACTTTTGTTAGGACTATGTTTCTCCATTCCTTTCTGTCCTCTGCGCAGTGGATAGCGACATTGATGCTGGAGTCCAATGTCGTCTTAATTTGATCGGACCAGCGCATTTTTACTGGTGGTAGGACCTCTTGTGAGTCCGCGCGAGTAGGTACCACCACCCCGCCTATTACTGCCGTGAAGCAGTAACGCGGTTCGGTTTGAAGGGTGGGACAGCCGTTGTAACTATACTGAGACCTTAGATCTCATATCTCTAGGTGGGTGGCGGCATTTACGTTGTAGATGTCTATGGGCTCCAGTAACCACTTAACACCAGGTGGGCTGTGAGCTCGTCCACCCATCTAAGCATTAAAAAAATTATTAAAAAAAAGCATAGGACTACGCCCCCTTGGCTTCTTTCCTTCCACTTTGCCAGTGATGAGTATTCTTTCGAGATTGTCACCCGTTTTCCTCGCAACGTGATCGAAAAACTCGAAAATCCTTCGTAGGCAAGTGATGGACAGCTCTAGTTAGTAGTTCGCTTTTATTAGCTTTAGTTGACATAAAAGAAAACGATAAATCACGCAATGAAGGTTGGATCATTATTATATTTGTGACAGGTTTTATATAATGGCGTCCAGGTGGCGTGTGTATCGAAGCGTTCGCTTTTCCGTGACACGTTCGATATGTTTTAATTTTAATGGTTTGTTGTTTTAGCGGCCAGTTTACACGATAGAGTTTTCGTTCGAACAGTTAAAGGAGTTTTTATTTTAATTTTTTTTATAGCCCTTGTAGGCAAATGAGCATACGGCCAACCTGATGGTGAATGGTTGCCGTCGCATATGGACTTCAGCAATCCCAAGCCGTTGCCTACCGCTTAAAGAAAACCATATAAAGAAAGTGTTAAATTGGTAGCCATGGCTGATGTCGAAAGGCAATGAAAAAATTATTAGTTTACAAATTTCTTTAACTGTATTAAATGAAATTCATCTAAGCCCATTAGTAGTAAACGTAGGCAAAAGTTCCGACTCCATACAAATTTGAGTTAACTTTTACGCTATCGAGAACGTTAAAAAACTCGAACTGAAGTCACCAGGAGTGGATTCAGAATACGACCAACCCCATACAGTATCTAGTTTAGTAAAAATAGGCAAAGACAAAACAAGTTTTAAAATGATATCAAATATAGAATACTCCATACAATGAAAGACTTATTCTACTTTTTCTGTAATAAATATAAATACGAATTTATTGACAATATAAAAATATTTTTTTTTAAAAATGTATCTAAAAAAATAATCACTTAATCACTCGCCTGTACTATAAATACGAAAAGAAGACCTTAATATCTCTATTTAAATTAATATTTTAAACAATATTATTATATTAAGTAAGAGTGAACCTGTCTAAGAAAAAAATCTTGTTACAATTATAGAGGTATTTTTTTATTTATTGCTTAGATGGGTGGACGAGCTCACAGCCCACCTGGTGTTAAATGGTTACTCGAGCCCATAGACATCCACAATGTAAATGCGCCACCCACCCTGAGATACAAGTTCTAAGGTCTCAAGTATAGTTACAACGGCTGCCCCACCCTTCAAACCGAAACGCATTACTGCTTCACGGCAGGAATAGGCAGGGTGGTGGTACCCACCCGCGCGGACTCACAAGAGGTTCTACCACCAGTAATTACGCAAATTATAATTTTCTTTACATGTATTCCTCTGAAATACCTGCCATTTCTGGATCTGCTACGGTAGCTGTCGTCGTCCTTCCCACGCCACGTGCCGAGTGAGGGCAGGTTCACTACACTGCTGCCTCTCACTGGCCCTTGATTCGGTTGCTCCGTGCTTCTAGTCTTGCGGGAACTTAGCTCTTTACCTAGGATAATCGAGATGTATCTGAGGCTCAAGCGTTTGAACTGATAGAACTGATAGGACTGATAGAGAAATTAAAACAACAAATGGAACATATTACTGGCGGTAGGACCTCTTGTGAGACCGCGCGGGTAGGTACCACCACCCTGCCTATTTCTGCCGTGAAGCAGTTTGAAGGATCAGACAGCCGTTGTAACTATACTGAGATCTTAGAACTTATATCTCAAGGTGGGTGGCGCATTTACGTTGTAGATCTATATGGGCTCCAGTAACCACTTAAAACCAGGTGGGCTGTGAGCTCGTCCACCCATCTAAGCAAAAAAAAACAATTGCTACGCTTAAATTTGGCCTTTTATTGATTCCTTTAAAGTTTTTGTGGTCATGGACTGTCAAGATATTTTTTATAATTAAATATTTCTTAATATCGATTCAAAGGAGCAACAAATTCGAATATCTAATTTCTGTGGGATGTTTTTTTGAAATATTTATTGATTATTAAAAAAAGTATTTAATTTCAATGGCAAAATTTACTTCACGGACGACTCATGAAAACCGATGAAAATATACAAATAATAAAAAAGTTATTTTTCAATCAATATTTCATAACATCAAGAACAATCAAAACAACAAATAATTCGGTTATCTGATTTCTAAGGAATTACATTTTTTTAATTCTTATTTATGATTTAAAAAAATTTATATTTAATTTCAATGCCAAAACTACTTTAAAAAAAAAAAAACAATAGTAGAACAAAATTTATGATTTACAAAATCCGTACCAATTTTCGCTCCGGCCAGAGCTTCAGCTGATTTCGAGATGCTCTTTGATAGAGCTGATGGTGTGGCTCGCATCGGCTTCGTCTGCCGCTGATGATGAACCATACTCGAATTGGCAGGACGTAACAATTGCAAATTTTTCAGCGCCATTTTTTGTACAACAACACATTCTCATTGAACACGTAAAAGTTTTTCATTACAAATATCGTATCGATTTTTGAACGTAGTTAGCAGACAAGACTCGATAACGTGACATTAAAAAGTTTTAATATACATACATCACAAATGCGGGCTCGTGTCTGTATTTTAAATAGAGATAAAAATATATATTTTTAAAACCGACCTTCAAAATTCACTAACAATATTGAAATTTAATTACATGTAAAAATAAGAGAAACGTAGTATGTGTATGTAAGCTGTGTTATTATTTTTAAATTAATAAATCGATTCATTCAGTGAGAACACGCACGTGTGTTTAATTTAAAAAAAAAACAATCTATTGGATGATTTCAATTCAGAACGAAATTTGTTTGGCGCCAAGCGACTTTTTTTAAATATGGCGACGCGTATGCTACGACCGCGCTAGTTTTGCAGACTGAAATAATTTCAGGGGGGTTGTGAAGTGAACGTTGATGGGGTGTCCTCCACGGTCACTTGCCGTAATTGTTGACGTGGGGACAAGGTATATATTACATAATCTACAATATGCAATCATTATACTGATGTCACTGTATAGGTATTAATCGATATTTTTTTTTTTTCGAACTTCGTCAAAAACTCCTTTCTCATTTTAAATCGATTTTCCCGTTAAATACAAATTGTATTTTGAGTTTAACGCTGCACGTCTCTATTGGTGCCGACGGAAGACCAGAGTGGTAATAACGATTCTTCTAACGATCCTACTGTTTGTCATTTCTGAATCTCTCCCGGCTGAGCCTTTTCTCGCCCACCTGTTCTGGTGAAACTGGAAAGGCCTACGGGCCACCAGTAATCCTTCAATCATAAAAAAAGCATTGCTGAACCAATAACCAATTATTTGTTTACAGATTCCAAGATTTTTTTGCGTTGTACGCTTGGAATTGTTTAAATACCTACATTTATAAAATATGCACATAGATTCAATATTTAGATTATAATGATAATCTGCCGTGAAGTATTATCATTATAATCTAAAGATTGAATCTATGTGCATTGCCTCCTGATATATTCTTGATTTAAGCCAACAATCCAAGTATCACATTCGCCATTCGGAATCAAGAAATTCTCCTCCCATGAATCAATCACCCTTTTCCGGATTCAATAACATAGATGCAACCAAAATCGATTGAACAAGAGATTGTCAGGTTTATTGTTGAATTTTTTATTAAAGCGTTTCATTTTTATTTTTTTAAACGACTTTTTTTTTCTGAATCTTCTAGTGACCTCGTAGGGTCATACTAGGGGGGAAAGAGTAGGTGAGCTCACTAACTTGGTGACGTTGCTAACACGAGCCCTAATGAGAGCCGTGCTTTGTGAATCATACGATATTGTAAACGAGTAAAACAAAAATAATAATACGATAGTCGCCGCTTTTTCATTAGTTATTGATGAGGATAACAACGTGAGGGTGTGAATGGGGAGCGGGGTTACTGACCCCTACGTCCTATGTCCACTACGTCGACAAGTACACACGATAAATTAGGAATTCGTAAAAAACATCAATCTATACTTCTATACTAATATTATAAAGAGGAAAGATTTGTTTGTTTGTTTGTTTCGAATAGGCTCCGAAACTACTGGACCGATTTGAAAAATTCTTTTTCCATTACAAGCCGACATTGTCCCTGTTGAACATAGGCTACTTTTTTTTAATTTTTTTTGGTTTCATGTGTTTTTTAATGTTTCCGAAGCGAAGCGAGTGCAGGTCGCTATTGGTAATATAACCATCTAATAAGAGGCGGTATTGTGAGTCCGCACGGATAGGTACCACAATCCTGACTGTTTCTACGGCGAAACAGTTATGCGTTCGGGTTTTGAAGGCGATGACTTTTAGTAATTATTATACAATGCAGAGGCGGGTTTATCATGGTGTTGGGTGTAGGTTGGCGGCGGTGTTAGCGGGCGCTTTTAACGAACTTATTTTTTTTTCAGGTTTAATTTTTATTACACGACTTTATTCCTTCATCGTTATAGCCATTAGTGATTTCAATAAAAAAATTAGTACCCGTCTGTCGTGAGCAGAACACCAGCCAGATGGTCAGATCTAGTAAGGGAAGCACTTGGTGGTAAGTAGTCTGTACAATGCGGTCCATGCCTCCCATAATCGAACACACTGGAAGAACGTCACATATGGTCGCGATCCTCAGCAGTGAGGAAACGATATAGAAAAAGAAGACCCGCCTGCGGGATTCGAACACCGGCCCCATCGCATCTCTCGCCACGAATGCACCTGGCCACTTAATCTTTAGACTACGACAGTATCAAATTATATTATACTAAAATTGTTTAGCGCATGTAGCGCCTGCATGGAAACACGACTGGATTTTTCGCCGGATCTTCTCAGTGCGTCGCGTTTCCGATCTGGTGGTAGATTCTGCAAAGCACTCCTCTTGCTAGAGTTAGTGTTAGCAACGTCATCAGGTTTGAGCCCCTTGAACTCACGTAGTTATTAGGGTTACGCTAAAATGGCCAGGTAGCAGTAATGCGTTTCGGTTTGAAGTGTGGGGCAGTCGCTGTAACTATACTGAGGCCTTAGAACTTATACCTGAAGGTGGGTGGTATATTTAAGTTGTAGATGTCTGTGGGCCCCAGTAACCACTTAACCTTAACAACAGGTGGGCTGTGAGCCCGTCCGCCCATCTAAGCAATAAAAAAATAAATGACGATGATCTATAAACTGAGACTTAGAAATCAAGTCTCAAGTTGATAGCGGCATGTTGTTGATGTCTCTAGGGTCCGGTAACCGCTTAACACCAGATATACTTGAGCTCTTGTACCTAAGAAATGTAATGGTGAACCGGCTTTCATTCTTCTAAATTGCAGCGCAAATTATGTAAAAGATTTATGCACGCAATATCATTACGTGTGACGTCATGGCAAATCATTAGCGGTGGTTATTGCAAAAAAAGGTGTTAGAATAATTAATACTAATTATATGTACGGCTTGATCTCTCGTTTATTATTGTCATGGTTCGTGACCACGAAAGCTTTGTCTGATGCTCACGACTCACCTGGTTTTAAGAAATGACCAGAGTCATATTTCGCTTTTCATTTAATATTTATAACGCAGTCGAGTTTTTTTGTTCCACTCAATAATTTAGTAATAATAAATCAAATATATTTCACTAAACAGTTGTGTAATGACTGTTTATTTGACACGTCGACTGGCATATAGGTCACCGGTGACCTACGCGGCGCACTGAAGTAATTATGTCGTTTTCTATTCCTAAGCGTTTGGATTGCCTTTTTTTTTTGTTTCGGGCCGGGGGCCGATCCCCTACGAGGTCCCCGCGCCTAAGGGGCGTGCGGGGTATGTGGGACTCAACGGTCTGCAGGTGTTGAGAGCAGACCGCGGGCCCAAGGAATTTTAGGGCCCACCCACTAAACGACTCCCCTGCACTCTTACACCCGACGTCCGATCCCCTCCGAGGCCAGAACCCGGATGAGGTAAGGGGGTTACCGCGGTCAACACTACAGCCAGACAGCGCGGCTCACTCCAAGGACGCCCAGCTGACGGAGCCTTCGAGGCGAATCGAAAGCTCTGAAACGTCCTAACTTCACCTTCTTTTGTTTTTAATATATGTTTTAGTCTTTTAGGTCTCTTTTAAGTCGATTCATTCTCAGTATCTTCGGATTTGTCTTTCCCAGAGTCTACTAGATATTCCGGCGCCTTAGTAAGAAGCTCGAAGAGAGAAATCGACATAATTACTTCAGTTCGCCACGTAAGACCTCGGTGACCTATACCTATATGGTCATCGTGTTAATTCCAACTATATTAATGAGTGTAAAAAATATGAACGCGGATGGATTACTTCCCGACGAATGACGAGAATGTTTAAAGCATTCAAAAAGTAAACGGTAATTGAAATGTAACATTTTTTTCCGTTGGGATGTGAAATTCCAAAAAAAGTAATAATGGATGTGTTCAATTATCTAATAATGTGTAAATACAATGGCGGGGCATGCACACGGTCCGTTGGTTAGCAAAGCACAATGACGCGTCGGTCCAGTCGGTCTCGGTTCGATTGGCCCAGTGATTTTTGTTCTAGCCGTACTTAACGTGGAACGTTTCCATTGTAACTTACTCCCGTCAAAAAAACGTCCACGCCATATTCGGTTTAATACTGGTGGTAGGACCTCTTGTGAGTCCGCGCGGGTAGGTACCACCACCCTGCCTATTTCTGCCGTGAAGCAGTAATGCGTTTCGGTTCGAAGGGTGGGGCAGCCGTTGTAACTATACTGAGACCTTAGAATTTATATCTCAAGGTGGGTGGCGGTATTTACGTTGTAGATGTCTTTGACCTCCAGTAACCACTTAACACCAGGTGGGCTGTGAGCTCGTCCACTCATATAAGCAATAAAAAAATGCAGCGTTATTTTGCTTAAGATCGTCCTCTGAAAATAGCATTATTAGAAACTTAAATATTAGGCCGTATTCTGACGAGCGTTCGTGACATCTGCTATTGAACCTCTGGTGACACCACGTATGTACCCAATTTTGTGTGATGGTGGTAGATTATGTGTTTGCTTGCCTAAATTACCAAATATACTGCGGTATACAAAATTGATCAGTAAGATCCAGGCTGTGGGCTCTGATGTTTTTGTCTAGCTTTATTTTGTTTTATTGCTAAGTAAACAAAGATCTTGATTGTTATTGGATTCAACAAGGATTCAATAAATAGCTGTAGAATTGGGACCGTGGCACATAAAATAAGACTATTCCTTTTTTTGCACTTTTATTGTTCTTTTCTCAAATCTTCTGAATTAAATATTATCTGACACCTTTTTTGTGATTTGCACATTCAATCGTCTTGGCCATCTTCCTTTTCTCCATCATTCTGTCTGTCATTCTCTTTTCCCTTTCTTAACGTTTTCTCTCACTCACATCTTAACGCTTCGTTCCACACTGTTTTAATACATTTCGTTCTTGCCAATCCTATATAGCCATGTTTTGTTTCATTATAAAACAAAACAATGCTTGTATTCAAATACTCGTATACTATATTTCTATTTTTCGGTCCAACGTTGTATTTCGGAAACAATCTCACTGACGTACAACAATAGCGCTTCCTCTTCCTTCATTAAGTTCACGTATGGTTTTATTTATAACGCTAATTTTACGTTTAGTTTTTTTTTTTTATAATTTTTTTTTTTTTTCGTAGTCGCGTAACTCGAATTATTCGCCTTAAAAGATAAGATTGCTGAGAGCTGGTACATTTGTATAAGTATAAGTTTTTACACTATTACGATTCTATTGTCAAAGACTATTATACTTCTATGATCGCAGATTTAGCTAAGACTATATATACTTTAGACAAATATTAATAAAGACAAACAATATTTAATCTATTCTCAATTTGACCACAGACTATAAGCATTAAGAAAAGTATGACAATAAACAAATAGTATGCATGCGTGTGTGTGTCAAATACATGGCCGTATGTGTAATGTTTTTTTTATTTATTGATTTAATGTATTTGTTATTGAATACAAAAAAAAACTGTATGTTATTATATCTTCATTACATTGAAAATATTAAATAATTACGCAGCGCACAGTAGCATTTGCTGGCATAACGGTCGATGGGTCACCGCCAACGGATGGACAAACAAAAAAGCCTACAATTTTCAATCATTATTAACAAAGTACACACGTTTTGGCCGCCCAGTCTATTCCGCGCCTTCAAGCTTCAAGGAAGGCTTCGAATTTTTTTTTAATTAAACTTACATATTGCTGATATAAAAAAAAATCATTACCACAAACTTTATAGAATGTGTGCTACGAATTAATAAGCAATTTTTCAGTTAGACAAATTAAAAAATATACTGTTTTTTTTTCTTTATGGTTGTTTAAATAATGTAATTTATTTTTAAGAGAACAAAAATGGAACGAGTACTAATTTTGGTGAGTTTATTTTTATTTATGTATCAATAGACAACTGTTACCTAATTAATATTTAAAGTCAATAAAAAAATTATGCTATTTTAAATTTTATATTCAATTAATTTAAGCAATTATTTTGTAACATTTCCAGTTGATTGTTGCAAGTTGTTAACGATAATTCTATTTTACATAAACGTTGAAGGATAATTATTGTGAGAAAAAAAATTGATGCTATGATATAAACTATAATAGAATCATATTATCGTTTTAGAAGTCGATTTTCAGGGTTTTTTTTAGGTTATATTATATATATTTATATATGAGGCCAGTTTTGCATCAAAACTTGTTATGGTTTGAATAAATTGCGATATATAAACCCGAATATGAAAAATGGTGGGCTAGGCCACTTTTGCGCTGACCGCCTCATATATAAGTGGAGGTATGGTATATACTAATATATAAATCTACAGTGCTTTTTACGGATGTTCCGTTATAACTACTGAACCATGCATCCGATTGACTTGAAACTTGGTATCCATGTAGAAAATATATATACTTAATGGATAGGCTAATATTTATATGAGTGTTAGACTTCTTAATAATAATGACAACCAATAATAATGTTAATTTTAAATGCCCAGCGGAGCGGGCGAGTTCAGCTAGTATATCTATATACTGTGTGCCGAAATTCCGCCGGTGTTTAATTAATCATTAATAACAATTAATAACTATAAATGTTGACTTTTGCGCCAAGGATCCTGGGTTCGATTCTCGCATCGGGCAAACATTCGTGTGATGAAAATGTCTGTTTGCTCTTTGTCTGAGTGCTTAATATAGTTTATAAATCAATGTCTCTCTGGTACCTATAGCACAGGGAATCCTAAATTGGGGCCGGATACAGTGCGTGATTCGTTCCCAGTTATTTTTTAATTTTACTGGTAATAATTTTACTGGTGGTAGGACCTCATGTGAGTCCGCGCGGGTAGGTACCACCGCCCTGCCTATTTCTGCCGTGAAGCAGTAATGCGTTTCGGTCTGAAGGGTGGGGCAGCCGTTGTAACTATACTGAGATCTTAGAACTTATATCTCAAGGTGGGTGGTGCATTTACGTGGTAGATGTCTATGCCTCGTCCACCCATCTAAGCAATAAAAATAAAAATATCACATTAATACACAACTTATTGGGCGCTCAATGCATCATTATGCAAACTACGCATTTTCGCATGCATTATGCGAACTACTATGTAATTCGTATAATATCTTTTTAATTGTCTATGCGCGACCATGGGCATAAACAATGGCGCGGGTTTACTAAACAACGAGTGTTATATGATAATGATCATTTCTCTTTATAAGCTTGTTGTGAGGGGTTATCTTTATTAAATTAACTTGGCAACTTGTTTTTGGAGAATGGTGATGTCTATTGTAGCGTCTGATTTCTCTACATATCTGACTATGCTGTTGGCGACCATACCTGTAGCTTCCACTACAATTGGTATCACAGCCGTATATGTGTTCCACAGTCGGGTGATTACCGTTCTTAGCAGGTGGTAAGACGTCTTGTGAGTCCGCACGGGTAGGTACCACCACCCTGCCTATTTCTGCCGTGAAGTAGTAATGCGTTTCGGTTTGAATGGTGGGGCAGCCGTTGTACTGTAAAAACTGAGAACTTCGAACTCATATTTCAAGATGGGTGGCGGCATTTACGTGGTAGATCCCTATGGGCTCCGGTAGCCACTTAATATCAGGAGAGCCGTGAGCTCGTCCACCCACCTAAGTAATCAAAATAAAATAAAAAAGGTGGTATTTTCTTATTATCTCTGTTCCTTTGGCTCCCATATTGTAGTCATGGGACAGTGATATTGTAGGGGAATGATACCCCGCCCCGCTTCGCTTACTATACAGTTATTTAGCATACAGTAATGAGCAGCATACGAGTCAGTTAGTGGTTAAAGCGCAGCGATCCACCGCGGTCGCTGACGCGAATAAACATATAATTATACTCAGTGTTTTATTGACCACTCTGATGAGGTTTCCAGAGGAGAACGCACAATAAACCCTCAACGTCAGCAAACCTCACAATATCGATTAAATTCTGTTTTGTTGGTTGTTTTGTCTGTGTATATTAAATCTGGTCTATTTTTAGTTACTGTAATGTCGGTTTGAACAGGAATTTCCTAAAGAATTTTTGCCTGGTCGTTTCCTTAAAATGCGGTTGTCTAGTACAAGATTTCTTTACACCACATTTTCTCAATTTCCATTGCATGTTTCCTTGCCAAACACCAGTAAATATACTTGGCCAAGTCATTACGGCGTTTGACGTAGTAAGGTCTCAGACAGTTTTTCGCATCCAGATAATAAGTGCTGTGCAGTTCGGTCTTGAGCAGTGGAGAAACGGCATTTTACTTATTTATTTAAGGATTACCGACAGGGTTTACAGTAAGACATAAAATAACATTGACATCTATAGAGCAATTAATAACTGCAGCTCTAATTAGAGGTAATCACAGCATGCATTACAATAATATATCAATAGAGATTTAACAATACTATTAATAATAATAATAAATTAAAAACAAAAGAAAGACAATAAGGACAGTAATACCCGAGTACTCAGACTGAGGCTGAGGCTGAGGTTCAACAACAACTTTTTATAATTTTGTTCCTGAATATTGGAAGGGAATCGCCAAATATGTCAAGGTTTTCAGCTTTTCTGACTAGATTATTATAAAGGTTAGTTAGACGAGGAGCAGGTGAGTGCTTGCCTAGATTGGTTCTGCTAAAGCGGGGTTCTTTTCCATCTACGGCAGCGGTCGGGGAACTTTTTAAATTATTACCCCAAAATATTTTTGTGTAAGTTGATGGTGAAGGACAAAAAATAACGAAATCGCTTCTTTTTAGCATCTTTCATATTATAGCCCCCATGATAATTTTGAAAAAAAAATTATTTTTTCGTTTCGTTTCATTTCGTTTTATCGAGTTTGAAATCACAACGATTCTAAAGAAGTTTCACATCAATATATACTTTTTACTCACAAAAGTTTCATTTTTAACCCCCAAAATTTCATTTTACCCCATTTGGGGTAATTTACCCCGGTTCCCCGACCGCTGGTCTACGGGTTCCTTCAATACGTCCGCGTCGCGTTGATGTTGCTTCGTCGTAATGGCTTGGTTCTATATAGCGAAAACAGACGATTCTAATGTGGAGCCTATTCTCTGTCTCTTCATCCACCTAAATCAGAGGCTCCCAAATTTATTTTGTTTACTACCCACTTTGAGAATAAATTTATTTTTTAGCGCCCCCATTTTTTCAACTACTTAAAAAATACTATAGCGAGAGCTCAGTCGGTTGCTAAGAGTCCTCCTAGATGAAATTACAAATCGCCTCCCAAGCCTCTATACAACGCCCCCATTCTTTTTCTGGGTCTCTTACCGCTCCCCTTTAGGCCTGCAGCACCCACAAGGAGGCGTTATCGCTCACTTTAGGAAAGGCTGACCAAAATGAAAGTTGCGTATCAATATACTATAGATATATACAGAATTAAACATATATCTAAGTTGGGAACAACAATATTCAGACCGTCAATCTACCGAGTGAAGGATTAACGCGATGAAATATCTTCCATATGCCGTTTCACCCAAACATCTACATATTATCTACAATCGTATCATCCAGTAACAGTAAGTAGGTCAACATCCTTGTTTGGAAAAACAAAAAAAAAACGAATAAAAAACAATAGAAATGACCTTCGAAACGCAACGATGGCTTTAATAAATCACACACCATCAAGTGACCTTAAAACAATGGCCGTAATTTTAACCGTAGGCACAAAAAGTGTGGTCGAAAATTGAGGCCATCGCATAATTCCCTATTGTCTCGTCATTAATCTGCCGGATACGCTTATATTCGTGTTATGACTAATGTTATGTGATTTTTTATTTATTAAATAATTAATACTGGTGGCCCGAAGGCCTTTCCAGTTTCACCAGAATAAGAGGGCGAGCAAAGGCTCAGCCAGGAGTGGTGGGATAAGGTAGGATAGGTAGTGACTAGATTCGGTGTTCGAATCCCAGGCGGATACCAATTTTTTTTAATAAAATACGTACTCAACAAATGTTCTCGATTGACTTCCACGGTGAAGGAATAACATCGTGTAATAAAAATGAAACCCGCAAATTTTAATTTGCATAATTACTGGTGGTAGGACTTCTTGTGAGTCCGCGCGGGTGGGTACCACCACCCCGCCTATTTCTGCCGCGAAGCAGTAATGCGTTTCGGTTTGAAGGGTAGGGCAGCCGTTGTAACTATACTTGAGATCTTAGAACTTTTCTCACGGTGGGTGGCGCATTTACGTTGTAGATGTCCATGGGCTCCAGTAACCACTTAACACCACGTGGGCTGTGAGCTCGTCCACACATCTAAGCAATAAAAAATAAAAATTCTCGTTCCAGATAACAACAATACTACTATTAATCGAACCGACAACGCGAGCAGAAGAGACGGTCCACTCATCTGTCTCGCCGCCGACGTTGCAAGACGCTCTGTACCGACAAAGTCGGAGCTATTATGACTACCGCTACGGAAGACCAGATTACGGCCGAAGAGTTTACGAGAGACCACGCTGCGGTCGTTGCTATGACGACGACGACGATGACGACAGCGAAGAAGTCCGCCATAGACCACGAAGCAAAACGAGAAGTCGTTACGACAGTGAGGAAGACGATAGACGAACGGACGACAGAAGAACAGACGACAGACGCACAGACGACAGAAACTCAAATAAAAATGGAACTGAAGAGGAAAATGGCGACAGAAAAAACGACAGACACAGCGGAAGAAGGAGAAATAAAGACAGACATAGAAACGATGACAGAGATAGATACAGGCCGGATTATTATGACAGATTCTTGAGGGATCCGTACAGAGATAGAGATTACGATAGACCGTATTATGAAGATTATTATAGAGGTAGAAGGCCGTATCCGGATAGGTATGATGAATACCAAGGAACATACAATGGCTACGGAGGATATAGAAGACCGTATGACAGATATGACGATGGTTATGGCGGATATGGACCAAGTGATGGCGGCGGTCCCCACGGCAGGTATGGCAAACTTCTATTCTACATATTTATATTTATTTACCTATTATATTAATTATTATCTATGAGTTTTATTGTTTATTTACTGCTGAAAATTAAAAGGCGAGAGGTTCGGAGTGGATTAAAGATTACAATTTGAATGTCGTCATGAGATACATGAGATTGATATGTCAGTGGTGATATAAAACCGCTGTCAAACTCTGCGAACCGACATTTTGGCAGGGCAGGGCATTTTGTTCTAGATTAAAAATACAAAATGGATGCTATAAAAATGTTCTAACTTTAAGTTTGCGATTAATTGGCTCCATAATATTTGTTGATGACAGATTAAATGATCATTGGTTAGGGCAAATACGATTTATCTTTGAAGCAAGCGAGGAAGCACTAAGCAAAACTACGTTTGCTTATTGAGGCAATATAAACATTTAACTGGCTCTTTTCGAATCACTGCACATTGCCCAAACTATACGCTTTCACCGAAATTCCAATTGAACATGTACATACTCAACAATAGCTGAAAGAACTGAATTAAATCCGTAACGGTAACAAATTGCATGTGGACTATAATTTTGTACGTCGCTTCTAAAAGCAATGATAGAATGATTCATTAGCATTTTCATATTTCATTATCATTCGGTTAAAGCAGGGGCTCCCAAACTTGTGGATAGGACTATGTTGTGGCTATCGTTTTGATCCAGGCTGAACGAATGCTTCGTGTGAGAAACAAAAAAATGCGACCCCAAATACACTGCTTACAACAACCTACCGAATGGGAAAAGACGTAGGCAAGGATTTGGGAAGATTGTTTTTTGTTTAAAACAAATATTGCTTTCAGTTTCAGACCTTGGGATGAAACGTATCGTGGTCAATCAGGATGGGACGCAGGTGGTAGGGGCTACTATTTCGCTTCAGGAAGACCCGACGCCACCTCGGCCCAGGCATGGGGTCGACCCGAGTATACCAGGTGAGTACTACATCCTCAGTGTGCTTAGTGCGAGTTTTTTAACGTTCTCGATAGCGGAAAAAGTTAACTCAAAGGGGATGGCCCATTTTAGGCCCAAAGCGGACAATAGATTATAGAAAAAATACTTAGTGCATTAATTTTGTCATAAATAAATATGCATTTACTTTCTTGCAAATAAGCGCCACTACAGTTTACAATAAGTAGCTTAAAAAAAGTAACTCTATTGAAAAAGCAAGGACTTTTATTTTTGCGGGAAAAATATTGCCAGCTTCAAAACNCTCGCACATGGCGCAGCTCGTCGCCGCCAGATGTCACGCGCCTCTCACCGCGCCTCGCAACGCACCGCAAAACGCACCGCCAGTAGCTGTGGCATACTTCATAGGTTGTCTACCATTTGTTTTCGCCGCTCCCGCTTGCCGCGCCTCACGACGCACCGCAATTCGCACCGCTCTCGGCTGTGGCCAAGGGGTAAGAGTTCTCCTAGATGAAATTACAAATCGCCTTCCAAGCCTCTACACAACACCCCAATTTTTTTTCTGGGTCTCTTACCCCCCCTTTTAGGCCTGCAGCGCCCACAAGGAGGCGTTATCGCCCACTTTGGGAAAGACTGGGTTAAAGCGATAAAGACATTCCATTGGGGCTGTGTTGTGGCTATCGTTTCGATCCAGGCTGAACGAATGCTTCGTGTGAGAAACAAAAAAATGCGACCCCAAATACACTGCTTACAACAACCTACCGAATGGGAAAAGACGTAGGCAAGGATTTGGGAAGATTGTTTTTTGTTTAAAACAAATATTGCTTTCAGTTTCAGACCTTGGGATGAAACGTATCGTGGTCAATCAGGATGGGACGCGGGTGGTAGGGGCTACTATTTCGCTTCAGGAAGACCCGACGCCACCTCGGCCCAGGCATGGGGTCGACCCGAGTATACCAGGTGAGTACTACAGTAGTGTTTAGTGCCAGGTTTTTAACGTTCTCGATAGCGTAAAAGTTAACTCAAATTTGTATGGAGTTGGAACGTTTGCCTACGTTTGTTGCTAGGGGCGCTGTACCAACTGTATACAAATTTGAGTTAACTTTTACACTAACGGGAACGTTAAAAAACTTGCACTAAGCACACATGATGGTGTGATTTAGAACCCACATATGTGACTTGTCTTACCGTATTTATGTGTCTAGTTCTATTACATATTGTTTGTGTTGTGAAAATATGTAATTTAATCAATTATAATGAGGTTGACGGTGTCGCCCTAAAAACAAGTTAGATATTTGAATTTTTCATATAAACTCAGTAGGCTAATGAAATATAAATAAATATTCAATCTTTTATTTTTTGTATGTGTTGTATGATCTCTCGAATTAAGATGGCACAAAAGACTTCACTCGAGTCCTCACAATGAGGTATATTCCCCTGTTTTTTGGGTGGGCTGAATAGCTCACGGCCCATCTAAGGTTAAGTTACGTCCGTAGCATGTAGACACAATTGTGGTGGGATATGAAATCGAAATCTCAAATTTATTGTGAACCGGGAAGGAAATGACGCTTTTATAGCCCACCATTATGATTTTTGGTGAATCAATTAACCGATAACTAATTTTTGGTAATCGAAGGATCGGTCCTATGCGGGTCTGCAGAGAAGCAATTTGGATCTTGGATCTTGAAGACGGTGTCCATGACGGACAGAGGCCCTTACGAATCTTTACCGCTATTTCTGTATTAGGGCCGTTATTTAAACTGTTCACATTTCAATCTCGTAACTCAAGGTGGTCACGATATTCAAGTTCCGTCCTCAATAGATTTCGGAATGGGCTGAACAAAATAAAAACATTACGTTGAGAAATGTTAGAAAGAGACAAACACGAAATTTCCCAGACCGCAAGCGGACAACTGGCAGAGTACAGGGTACTCTGGATACCGCGACCCCCTGGAGTACCGCGGGTCAGTGGGCTCCGTGGGGTATGGCCGTGGTGGGTACCGCCAGGATCTCAGCTACGGGCAGAGTAGCAGCGGATGGCGCAGCGTTGGTCGACCTTATAGAGACGAAAGGTGAGGCTACAATAAATATATCTATACATATAAAAATTAATTGCTGTTCGTTAGTCTCGCTAAAACTCGAGAACGGCTGGACCGATTTGGCTGATTTTGGTCTTGAATTATTTGTGGAAGTCCAGAGAAGGTTTAAAAGGTAGATAAATATGAAAATGCTCGGAATTAAATAAAAATAACAATTTTGATTTTCCATTGATTTTTCCCCCGTCGGATGGATTCCTTTTATTTGTTTTAAGTTTGTTTTATACAAAAGTTTAGGTGTTTTATTTATCGATTGAGGCACTACGAAGTCTGCCGGGTCAGCTAGTCAAAAATAAAAACCAATGTAACGAATTCATTGTTTATTTTTACAGTGGAGTTAAAAATCTGGGCGCCAAAAGCTATCAAGACAATCGCCAAGCAACTTACAGCCAATCCAGCACGTATCCGCCAACGTTTGGACCAACTGAAGTTTATAGTCAAAGCAGCGCGTATGGTCAAGCCGGGGTGTATGGCCAAACTGGATCGTATGGCCAAAATAGCGTCTATGGCCAGCTAGGTGTATACGGCCAAAGCAATTCTGCCCAAATAAACCCGTACGGACGCGACTACGTACAAAGTAGCTCCACTACACAAGAAACAAGCTACTTGTTCCAACGCGAAGATAATTTGCCAACAAACGTTAATGAGACCGCCAAACGGGATACTTCATTAGTAAATAACTGAAAAACAGTATTTTTTTAGTCTTTTCTTATGTGTTTTATTTTGTATTAAATTTATTAAAACCATTTTATAAGTATATTATTTGTAACCACTGCATTTATTAAAGGTCTATGTTTGTAACAGAAATTAAGTCTTGGCAGTGCCATCTGTCAAACAACAGATTTACTATGACAATTCACTAAAGCGGCGCTAGTGTCATATGGTGATCAAAAGCTAATCACTTTTAGTGCCTAATTTATCCGCTAGATGGCGCTATAAAATAATATATTTAAATATTTTTCAGTGTGAAAATCATTTTGTAAAATTTATTATTCTAAGTTACTGAAGCGTGAACGTAGCCTCTGCGTAAGAAATGTTAATTAAATAAGGATATATGTAGAAGATCATTAATATATTTCATCTTAATTATCTACTGACTTTTTGGGGGAATTTCTTGAGTGAATCCATTGTGAGTATTATTAATTGTATGAAAATAAAAAGTTATTAAAACTAGACACGCGCCTACCACTGTGGTACTGGGATGGTTTTAAATAATACTTATTCTTTCGCAAAGTTTCATCGCAATCGGATGAGAAACGCATAAAGACCAAATATACAAACATTTACATTAATTTACATAATTAATCTTTTTTTTTTTATTGCCTTTGTAGGCAGACTAGCATACGGCCCACCTGATGGTAAGTGGTCACCGTCGCTCATGGACGTCAGCAATGCCAGGGGCAGAGCCAAGCCGCTGCCTACCATAAACTACTCTCCGCAAGATATAAAGAAAAGACAATCCATGGCCGTGCGGATCTAAAGCCGCACGTATCCCATAAACCCACAGAATAAACATCGTAACCTACCTTGAGACTTGATGAACTTGAGAGTTGAGACCATGGAGTTAATAAACTAACCCTATGGTTGAGACTTATTAGGTGAAGATCGTCGAAGAGAAAATTACAAGTCGTCCGTGGCAATTGCACAAATCGACGACTGATTTGTATAGTACATTAGAAGCTTCATTCAAGCATGACTTTAATAAACATCTGACAGAGTATATCACTTACCAAACAACACCATAGTGTTTTAATATATTATCTAAACGATAAACAACATGGCAGTACAAAAACAGCTAAGCCTTATTTGTTAAATTCTATAATTTACTAGCAAAATCGACGCCATTACAAATATTTTAACACCTTTGATCCACTTGTCGCTAACAAAAACCAAAGTCAAACAAAATTCCAAAACCCAAGTTGCATGTTCTGCGTGCAAAGAAACATAAAAGCTATTTCTCTTTACCTAAATAGTTTGAGGGTAGTTCGACTAATATTCATTACATTTACGAAAACCCGTTTCGAAGATCGTAAATTATAAAATGAAAATATTGAACGTGAGATTAATAAAAAAATCGCAATTATACCAACGACCGGCTAATGAAAATCGGTAATTATCAATAGAATTTTAATTTTACAAGTTGATCGAAAAGTTAGTTATCTTCAGACGTATTTGACTATCGCAAAATAATCGCATCTAACTATATAATTACCAATCAAACAATTTAATGTTGATATGATTAAGGATTACCAAATTGAATTATATCAGATATCGTATGGTACGTGCAGTTTAGTAGGATCTGTCGCAGGAATTGTCACGATTATCGTTCGTATATTTTTGTAACAAAAAAAAATACTTTATATAGATTTACCGCGTTTTCATATAAATTTGTGTACAGATAACATAATATTCCAATTTTAAATAATACTTTATCGTTGAAAATTTGTTAGGTTTTTAATGAATAAGGATTTAATATGTCTTAGGGTTCTTTTCGGGTGATTATATTAAAATTTATTTTTCGTTAAAAAATTTCACGATTGTGTTTAGGTTGTGAGAGGAATTAAGTGNTATATAGATTTACCGCGTTTTCATATAAATTTGTGTACAGATAACATAATATTCCAATTTTAAATAATACTTTATCGTTGAAAATTTGTTAGGTTTTTAATGAATAAGGATTTAATATGTCTTAGGGTTCTTTTCGGGTGATTATATTAAAATTTATTTTTCGTTAAAAAATTTCACGATTGTGTTTAGGTTGTGAGAGGAATTAAGTGAGATGACACAGCAAGATTCTGTGACCGTGGCCGAGAATTCCACGCAGCAGGTAGACGGTGTTCAAGTCGTGGAAAATGCTGAGGGACCAGCGCTGTTGGAGTCACCGCAGAAAGTGTAAGTGGAAAAGAAAATCCTGAAATTTCATACAAAAATCATATTCAAGTTTTTGTTTACCTGTGTGCTTAGTGCGAGTTTTTTAACATTCTCTCGATAGCGTAAAAGTTAGCTCATATTTGTATCGAATGTGATCGTTTGCCTACGTTTGCCGTTAGGAGCGTTGTTCCAACTGCATACAAAATTGGGCTTACTTTTACGTTATCGAGAACGTTAAAAAACTCGCACTAAGCACTCTGGAATTGTGCACTAAGCACTCTTGTGCGTAATACTAATTTACTAACCATGCTTTTTGTACGTATTCTTACAGCGATGGAATACGATTTTTCCCCTTTTTTCCGTACTTATCGCTGGTAACTTAAAAGCTATACCAGCCACGCCCGGACGGGTAAGTGAGCTCACGGGCTTAACCTGAGAGAATTTTCTGATACTAGCCCTAGCAAGAGCAGTGCTTCGCCGAATCTAACACCGGATCGGTATCACGACTCCCTGAGAAAATCCGGCGAGATACTCTAATATTAGCGGCCTCAACGGTAGGTCGTCGCTTAACTATTCCGCTCACATGACTGATGTCCGTTTGTCTATGGTGATCTCTCATCGTAGGCTTGTAACCCTCATCCGAAACAAAAAAAATATATATATATTCGCCTAAATGTCGTAATTATGTATATTTGTAAACCCCCACTTTAAATCACCTAAAATCTAAATTAATTAGGAACCTTGAAATTCGTTTCGTGCACCAAAATTAAATATTACCTACCTACATCGTTTATCTAGAAACACATTTATTATCCTTACTTTACGTAAGTAGCAGATAAAATGTTTAATATCTATGCAACGTTCATATGAAATTGATACGGCTATCTACTGAAAATATTTTATGATTCAGCTATGTGTAAAAGTGGATTCGGCGAACGATTTTGGACTTAACAATGTTTTTTTTTTTTTGCACTTACCAATGTTTTTTTTTGCACTTACCATTGTTTTTTTGTTCTCTTTCTTGTCTCTATGCCTGTGTCGGGTCCGCAAGGCATTTTGCATGACTCTTTTTCCATTCAAGCCTATCATACGTCATATCTGCACTCAAGCCCATTCTCGCATATTCTCTTTCTCACACTTCATCTCCATCTTTTTATCAGCTACGAATATGTATCAGGACCGTTTAAAAAAATTAATATTTAACAATACCTACTTTGACGTTATAAAATGTTTTTAGTTTTTTTTTTTCAAATAAAATCCCGACCATAGAAAATAAGGTTTTCAGACATTTTTTTTTTTACTTTTATTGACTTTTTTTTACAATTAAATAATTAGAAATAGAAATTAGATTTCCCTTTTTGATTGGCTATTGGTTGGCTTGAGCTCACGGCCCTCTCAGTGATTAGAGGAGACCACAGACATCAGCAACGCAAATACAGCCACTCACCTTGAGACATCAGTTCTAAATCTCAATTTTATAACGCACTGCTACCCCCGTCCTTCAAACCGAAAACTGCTGGATCTTCTCAATGGGTCGCGATTCCGATCCGGTGGTAGATTCTGCGAAGCGCTGCTCTTGCCAGGACTAGTGTTAGCAACTCTGTCAGGTTGAGCCCGTGAGCTCACCTACATGTTAGGGCGAAGCTGAAATAGTCTGTCAAGGCTATCAGCACAGGTAGAAAAAAAAAACTACCAACTATTGTTAGGTAGCAGCGCTGGCTTTTTATGCTGACGTTATGAAACATATTATACGACATATGATTTAAGGGTCAAATTGAAATGACAAGCTAATCGCTGGGTTGGAGCGGTGCCGGTGACGTGCTTGCATAGTGTACCATTACCCTACCGCTGTATATTATTATAAATTTCATTGAGTTAAATGACAATTCAAATCAATAAAAATCTAAAAACACTAATTTAAATAAAAATAGTACTTTTGTTGCATTAGTATAACCTCTATTTTCCATCCAGTATCTAGAAATAAATAATCTTTATGAAAGGGCAGTGTTAGCAAGCATGTATTAGCTGTACTTTATTTCCCTACAAACTAAGCTCTTATGTATAATTGGAATAGGGTCTGTTATGTGTTTTGTTTATAATACAGAATTTATTTAATCGTATAATATCGTAACTCACAGTGTGTCAAAGTAATATAGTTCTAAACTCAATAACATAAAGGCAATTTTTCTGTACAGTCTAAATAAGTTGCCGCAGCTATTCTCTGTAACACAAAAGTTCGAATTAAGTTATTCAAACCAATAAGACTTTATCCGTAAAACATAAGGTCATTTTTTCTCTATAAACAACGTCATTTATCATAAATTATAATTTCATAAAATTAATATAGTCCTTATCCCGTACACAATATGAACTATTTTCTCGTTCGCTATTGAAATAATAGTGACGTAATTCAAAGTTGTTCGAATTTATGTCTCGCTTTGAACTGTGTCAATGTTCGAATCGCGTAATCTCAAGAATCGACAGATGACTCACAACACAGACTTATCTGTCAATAAACTTGCTCAATGGAGTTATGTTTCTTATATAGGTCCATGCTGTGTTCCATAGTGTTTTAATTTCGATTTGAGTGAAAATATGCTTTATTGTTATTATAAATAAATAATTGAGAACAAACCACGCACATTTATCCGGCTACAAATTAGGATTAGCAAAATATTGTACAATGTATTGGCGCCAAAATGAGAAAACTCAATAAGCAATCATATAAATATCATATCATAAAAATGACAGATTCCAAATTCAAATGTAATATTTTGTTTATTTTTAATTGTAACAGTATTTATGGCCAGACTAAGTAGATAATGAACACCCAGACAAAGAGCAAACAAACCTGTTCATCACACGAATATTTGCTTAATGTGAGAATCGTACCCACGACCCTCGGCACCACAGTCGGGGACGCTAACTACTGCACCACCGAGTCAGTCGTAAATAAACTAAATTATAAGTTTTCTAACACTAAGATGTTATTCGCGGTCTTATAGTAGCTGCTTATTCTAGACCACTGTAAGATGCACAAAATAAATAGTAGATTGCGCGATGTAACAATTTAGAAGTGCCTATTTGACGTCAAACCTTCTTTAGCATCGTTCTTTGCCCTAAACACGTCATTACGGATCCTTCCGATCCATTAACGGTACTTTTAGGTAAATTAACCCATAGACACAGCCCACTGAGTTTCTTGCCGGATCTTCTCAGTGGGTCGCGTTTCCGATCCGGTGGTAGATTCTGCGAAGCACTGCTCTTGCTAGGGCCAGTATTAGCAACACCTCCGGCTTGAGCCCTGAAAGCTTACCTACAAGCTAGGGCAACGCTGAAATAGCCTCTCAAGGCTATCAGCGTAGGTAGGAAAAAAAACTCACACATAAATATATAGCCGAATTGACATGACTCGGTTTCTTTTTGGAAGTAGGTTATAATGTGGGTTTCAGTACTAGATTTGTTTAATTAATATACGTGAGTTGATGTTTACTCATAAGTGCACCTAGTTTGCGCCTTTTAGTAGTCTATTAACATTGTTTATAGCGGGTGCAACGGCTGCCCTTGGACCGTACTTAACAAATGTTCACGATTGGTTTCCGTGGTGAAGGAACAACATCGTGGAATGTAAATCAGACCCGCAGAAATTATATTTTGCCTAGTTGTTGGTGATAAAGGCGTCTCGGGAGGCAGGACGTATGTAGAACATATCCCATAAAACTAAGAACTGTTTGTGTCTGTGGGTTAATTTACTCGTCGAGCCCTTCGTCGCAAGCGACGGGTTCGGCGAGGACGGTGACCGGTGCTTAAGGTAGGTACCTAAAAGCACCGTTAATGGATCGGGAGGATCCGTAATGACGTGTTTAGGGCAACGTCGACTGTTTACCATTCGGTCCACAAGATCGGCTAAGTAATTTCCGGCGGCCACGACAAGAGGGTTTTCGTGTCGTGCCGCCTTCTCAAGGTGGCGCATTGATGCCGACTGTATATACTTACTGATTGAATCAAGCTCCAGGTCATCATGAAGTTCCACATTCCTTAAGAACCACGTTGCTTCGACGGTTTTCCTGCAAAAACGGGATTGAATGATTTGAAGGAGTTTCAAATTAATTAGTGTTCGATCAGAACTTTTCTAGATTAACCATTTTTTTTAATCTGTTGCTTCTAATGTGATCTCGTTTAACTTTAATCAAGATCTGACCTTTGATTTTGAGTTAACCTTGTTAATGAATATTTCATTGACTTCTACTATTTTGGTTATATTTTGATTTTGTTGTAGTCGGTTTTTGTATTTGCGACCTTATGTATTGCCACTTTATGAACATGCCTTTACACTTAAGCGCGTAATGAACATTTTACAATAAAGATTACACACGAGTTCAACGTTCAGAAAATCCATCGTGAGAGTTTAGTTGGAAAACACAGAGCATTGCAGATACGATGTCACCAAACACAAAGCGCGCTCTTACTTGACCGGCCGCCGTCTGTCGACTCTGTCGGCTTAAATGTCAGTTTACCTCCGACGCTCGCGTGAGTTTCGTGTCGCGCGCCAAAACACCGGCCGTAATACGATTCAAACTTTTTTAATTAAACTAATTTAAACCCGAATTTGAAACATATCGAGAACAGTACTGTTTTTTTAATATATTTATTTGCATTTCTATAAAGTGTAGTACATAAATTTGAGCTTTTTGTTTCGATCGATGATTGATTAATGTGATAAAAATATCGATAAGCACATGTTTTTCGGCAGGCTAAAGTGAATACACAGGTTATATTGCTTTCGTGCAGTGATGCATCTCGGATTTTTTGTTTTATTTTCGAAGATATAATCGTGTGTTCATCTGAGGTGAGTTCGTTAACCTTTATTTATGTTTTTGTTCATCTTTTTATTTTATTATATTGGCAATTGTAATCTCTGCGAAATCTATCAATGAATTAATTGCAGAGTATACAGATATTAAAAACGCATTTACGATTCGAATCTCGCGCTATTTTTATCAGATTTGCCACGAAAACCACCGTACAAGATTAAAGATTAATTGTGAAAAGATTAACAATTAATAAGAGAAAAATAACTAAGTATAGGTAAAAAACCTAAACTTTTGTATAAAATAAACTTAAAACAAATAAAAGGAATCCGTCCGACGGGGGACATATCAAAGGGAAAGCAAAATTGTTATTTTTATTTAATTCCGAGCATTTTCATATTTATCTACCTTTTAAACCTTCTCTGGACTTCCACAAATAATTCAAGACCAAAATCAGTCAAATCGGTCCAGCCGTTCTCGAGTTTTAGCGAGACTAACGAACAGCAATTCATTTTTATATATATAGATAGAAGATAGATTGGCAGGGCGGTGCTGTGGTACCAGGGCGGTGCTGTGGTACCATCTCTTGGGTACTGCTAACATACACCAAAGTGTGATGCCTGTTGACTGAGTTAACCTCTTAACAGCAGATGCGGTATGTTACATAAAACGGAGCAGTAAAAACCTTACTTACTTAACTTAAAATATCGTCTCTGTAGAACTACACGTTACACAATTATAATTGACATTGGAGAAGACCAGTCCCGGATTTCTGGTTTAACCGGATATCACAAAAACCGGTCGAAACCACGGTAAAGTCTAAGTCATCGTTATTCGTCGTGAACTATGAACTTATCTGTGTTCGAAACGTTTTCCGGTTATTTTAATTAGAGTAGTAATATATGTGTTTTTAAATACTATATTGCTCTATGTGGCGGTTTAACGGTAGACAGCGGCGTGGCACTGCCCTTGGCGTTGCTGAAGTCCATGGGCGACGGTAACAATTCACCATCAGGTGGGCCGTATGCTCGTCTGCCTACAAGGGCAATAAATGTGGTCTCTCAAATCAATTGTATCCATCTCTTTCCAGTTCCAAAACTGGACCGTTCTGAACTTGTACTTGTACAAAAAATACATTTTCGACTTTGATTGAACCTTTGTTTGGCCTTGACTTTGTTTTTCGATCATATAATTAAAATTTGTTCGCTGGATACGACGGATGGAATCTTCAACTGTGACGATATCTCGTTCATATAATTATCAAATTGTAAGGAAAAAACAAAACGGATCATGCCCTTAAAGAAAAAACTTTCAAACAACTATGTACAGATGGCATGTATCATAAATAAATTAGGCTTAATTTTAACGAAAAAATTAGAAAATACGCTTCAATAGCACGCAGAACTAACAATTAATTTCATCTTTTTGTATCCCATTGAGACTGGTCAAGTTATTAGAGCGAAATCAAACCCGCAAAATTATAATGTGCGTAATTACTGGTGGTAGGACCTCTTGTGAGTCCACACGGATAGGTACCACCACCCCGCCTATTTCTGTCGTGAAGCAGTTATGGGTTTCGATTTGAAGGGTGGTGCAGCCGTTGTAACTATACTGAGACCTTAGAACTCATCTCAAGATGGGTTTCGGCATTTACGTTCTAAATGTCTATGGGCTCCAGTAACCATTTAACACCAAGTGGGCTGTGAGATCGTCGACACATCTAAGCAATAAATAAAAAAGTTATAAAGTTATTGTATTGTCATCGGTCCTTGATGCTTGTGAAAAATTTTCAAGTTAATCGAACGCCTTTATATTGGTGAAAATGACTGATATAAAGATTCCGTTATATACAAAAATACACACATTATAAGCTAATAAAAAAATATTAAAACAGTATTATTGGATTTCCTCATACCTGACACAACAAAATTAAATAAATTCAACAATTTCCTGTTGCATGTGTAGACGGCATTTAATTTAATTTTACTTTGTATTTATCTACAGGTTCCGGGACTGGTAGACACAACTAAAACTTCTGTTACGGTTGAGACTTATATTTGCCAGCCATCTTTGTTTTTCCTTGGGCCAGAGTATAATTAAAAGTAAATCTTCTTCTTCTTCTTCGATATATATAAAAATGAATTGCTGTTCGTTAGTCTCGCTAAAACTCGAGAACGGCTGGCCAATTTGGCTAATCTTGGTCTTGAATTATTTGTGGAAGTCTCTCTCTCTCGAGAGAGAGAGAGACAATCATTTTTTCTTACACTATTTTTAATTTAAATTTATTAAAAATTATTTTCTATTTTTAAATTGGATTTTCTACAAAAGCGTATTTTGTTAGTTTTTTTCAACTATTATTTATTTTTCATTTTTTAGTAGAATTTCTTTGTTTCAATTTTTTTTTTATTGAATTATCATCGGACCTTAATAAGTATACCAAATTTCGAGTTAATCCGACGTTTTGAAGGGGGTGAAAACCATGTTTAAAGATTCCGTTACACACTAACATACATACGTCTAAAGCTAATAAAAGCGTATTAAAAAAGGAACATAACTCATAATTTCAAGAAGTACGGGCCTACATCAAGACATTTAAATCCATTAGTAGATGACACTGAAGTATGGCCTTATTTTCATTGCCTAAAAAGTGGGAACCTAGCCGAAGCTTATGGTGTGAAAATCCGAAATCGCTACCGACCGCATATTAACGCGAAAACTAGGTCAAGTTTACAGTCTTGTGTGGCGAATCGATTATCACTAGTCCACAAAACCGAGAAAAAACTGCAAAAAGATACAGTCGAGAGAACCTTTCTTCTCTTTTCAATTAATTCCAAACATGGATCTTAACTTAATTTTGTTTTTATGAAACTGTGTCTGGAATGTAATGTTAAAAATACTATAAAGCCCGATAACCTAGCGACTGATAATTATAACTATTTCAAGATGCTTTAATATAATACTTGTAATGACTGGAGAACAACTGTGTCGATCAATCGATAATGTTATTTTTAAATTGAAAATAACATCTTGTCATCCAACATATTTTTTTAATTATGTATATAGACTAGCCGTATTCGCCCGCTTTGAGGGCATTTAAAGTTAACATTATTATTTCTCACCTCCACAAAGATTCTCATCATTAACTGGTACCACCACCCCGCCTATTTCCGCCGTGAAGCAATAATGCGTTTCGGTACGAAGGGTGGGGTAACCGTTGTAACTATACTGAGACCTTAGAACTTATATCTCGAGGTGTTGTGATAGTTGTCAAATAAAATTGTTAAACAATGAAACAAAAGAATAGGATTGCCACAAATTCGTAAATACCGCTTAAATGATTTCCTTCGGTGATACTCGTAGAGAGTCGTAGACTATCAGTATCACACAATAGATAGTAGACAATATCGCAAGATAGATAGATATAGGTGTAGACGAATAACATTTTTTTTATCTCCATCTTTTCTAGTAACCTTGAGGGGTTATTGTAGATTCGCCGATTTAATAGGTGAGCTCACGGGACTCAAACCTGACGACGTTGCTAACACTGGCCCTAGCAAAAGCAGCGCTTCGCAGAATCTACCACTTATAACGGATCGGAAACGCGACCCACTGAGAAAATCCGGCGAGAAACTCAGTGGGCTGTGTCTATGGGCGAGTAATATCTTATAGTCTTCCGTGAGCACGAAAACCGTAAAGTATTCTAAACATCGGAGATAATATCGATGGGGGACAGGTTATATTTTAGTCTAAGCGACATCTCGTTAATACGCGACATTTATCTTTGTAATCAAAGGTACGTCTTATTTGGTATTAGCATCAATAGTACCTACGATGTTTTTAATTGAACTTCAATTAACGTCACTCCATTTAAATAGCTGTTGAAGTTTTTTTTTTGTTATGATATTTTTAATTTCATTACGATGTTATTCCTTTACCGTGGAAGTCAATCGTGAAAATTTGTTGAGTACGTGTATTTCATTAGAAAAATTGGTACCCGCCTGGGATTCGAACATCGGTATATCGCTCAAGACGAATGCACCGGACGTCTTATCCTTTAGGCCACGACGACTTCAAAACTTTACTTTAACTTTAAATGGCTCTCCCGTAAAGTTGCAGAAATGTCGCATAAACCGAATAGGCTTTCACAAAAAATTATACAGCCTTAAACAGACCTAGCCCTGTGACTTTTCAGAACAAACTTGCCATGTTGTGTCCAGCTCTGGAATGATTCCCAAAGGCTGCAGTGTTGTGACATGTCCTTCTTCGAAATCGATTGGATAAATTACGATACCATTAACATATTTCGTACACGCAACGTCTCTTGTACAATATTACATTTAGTGACTCATAAATTGTAATCAGAAGAACAATATTGCGTCGATACAATGAATCTCTATTAACATAAATTTACACAAACAACATAATGTCGAACTGATGAGGTCTTGTTAGTTTAAATTAACGCTTTTATATAAGTATGAAACTAGTCTTAGCCCCCGAACTGATACGCATTTAAATTCAGACATATTTGAATATCGGCACGGAAATTTCCGAAAGATACCGAAGGACATACCGTGCATACATTTTTTACTAATCTCGGAAAATTACCGGAAACGAGGCGATTTGTTTGAAATCTTCTTAAGTACGCTCAAGAAAGAAAGAGAGAAACATGCTGTTGCAAGTTTGGATGCAAAATAAACATCCGATCTTAAAATAATACATTTTTATCCAGGGAATAATAATGAAGTTCCAGAAAACATAATGCTACAAATCTCAGAGAATCGACGAAAGGGATTTAAAATCTAGAATGATAATGATAATGATTATTAATAATACATTTATTTAGGGTTTAATGCTAGCCTAAGTTTATCTTAATACATCATGGGTTCAGCAGTCTTGTCAAGACTGGTTCTGCCCTACTGCAGACTACTTTTTATGATGCAACCCTCCTTTACTCCACTTTTGTATGCCAATTGCGTTTGTTACATGATAAGACACGTTCCAACTAACGGACCTACACATAAAATGTACTAAAACGTGC